ACACGCTGAAATGAAAAACAAATCTGCTCACCAGTTCTCTAGGAAACAAAGTGATATAAGCGTCATTAACAAGATGCTCAACTAGAACAAACACCACTCAACAGCTACTATAAGCCTGAATAAAGAATAAGAGACAGCCTTTTTTTGTTTGTTTAAAGCCTCTGCAAATAGTAACAGAGAACATTCTAAAAATACTATAACCTATATTCTGAGAGTCTAAAAGTCTGCCTGCTAGATCTGCAGGTAGTGAATATTTTAATTTAAAACTTTGCAAAAGAACAACAGCATAAAATTAGGGAATCATAGTGAATCAAATGTAATAGGAAAAAAAAGCATTAGCAGTGCGTGTACAGGAACACAAAAAATTAAAGCAATATACTGCAATATAACTACAGCAGCATGTTAGAGAAATGTAATTTTAAAGTGACTAAAGCCATTTGGGTGAAAATAAAAAGAAGTGTGAACAAGCTGTACTCCTTTAAAATTAATCTTTATTTCTCCTGAATACAGAAGACATTGGACAGTAGCAGACACCAGCCACTGTCGGTAGACAAAAACAAGCAAAAGGGTGAACAATTGTTACTCAGCAAAACACTCTCGGTTCAAATCAATTACAATTATAACCACTCCTTTCCAACGGCAAGCACGATCCGCACTAGCAGCTCCCTGTGCCCGACACCCACACAATTCCCCAAGGACAACTCCACCGGAGAAACAGGCAGGAAACAGCACCGCCCTGGCTTCCTGCAGCGGCAGCAGGCACAGGAAACACACAGGAAACACACAGGACACCAGAAAAGCAGCGGCGTTGTGCTGCCACATCGCGATTTCCCTGTCTGAGGGCGCTCACACACCCGCGTGCGCGTATTTACGCGCACGGACGCATACACACACACACACACACACACACACACACACGCACACACGCGCACACACGCACACACAGACACACAGACACACACACACACACACACGCACGCACACATGCACACACACGCACACACGCGCGCACACACGCACACACGCGAGCACACGCGTATCTCTCTGCACACGGACACGCCACACGCCCCTCACGGCTGCAGAGGCCGAGCCCGCCCCGGCGGCGGGGCCGCGCGGATCCCCCGGCCGCCGCCATGTTCCCCCGCCCCGAGGGGCCGCAACGTACCGCGAGCCGCCCGCGCGCCCGGCCTGCCAGGGGCGGGGCCGGGCGGCGGTCACGTGGGGCCGCCGGGCAGGGCGCCCCCCAGCGGCGGGCGGTGTGGGGGCCAGCCCCGCGCGCCCTCAGCCGTGGCTCTGGGGGCTCCGCGGGGATAAAGGGCAGCGAAAAGGAAAAGAAAAGCTTATTTTTATCTCAGCACCGCTGAGTTCACGCAGGGGCCAGCGGAGTGTTTTTAGCTGGTGGCATTCCTGAGGGCAGATTTGTAGCTGCAGAGGTCCCCGGCAGTGTCGTGCTCCCCCCGCCTCCCAAAAGCGAGGGACGCGCCTTCGCGCTTCCTATTTTTAAAGGCCACCGACAATTAGCTTTTTAAACTCCGGTGTCAATGCCCAGCCAAGGGCAGCGTTCTTTCGCCGCCAGATAACTTCATGAAGGAATGCTGCCCTATTAGAGGAGTCGTTCTGGAGGCTGGGATTATATTCTATGGGAACAATGTATTTTGGGCAGCCTGAGTATGTAGATGTCTGTTTGCCCCTGGTTAACGAGGCGCACAAAGTTAGCAAACACACGAGCGTGCGCTGCCATAATCCCCTTTTCGTGTGCATCGGTGTTTATCTCAGGTTTCACTGGTGCCAGATATACACACTCGTACAGTTTTAGTGCTGGTTTCAGGTTCGCTACAGCTGTGTTGCACTCACAAAACTGTGTGGTGTCACTATAGCGAGACACTGACCTTTCGACTGCTGCTGGAATTTAATATTTGCTGTAGTATTTGATCTAATTTGTGATTCCTATTCAGTGCATTACTTTAAAAATAGCTAGATTTGCATTTGCTGGGGTCTATTCAAAACCTCATTCACGTTACTATTAATATCCAGCTTGACACGCCAGCATCATAAAAGCCCAAATGCTCCAGTCTCCCTGTGGAGAATCCTTTGGTGTTTTTTGGTCACTGAAAGGCAGCAGACGAGTTACTGATAGATGCCCTTTTTTAAAAAAAAGCGAAAGACATCTGACAAAGTGTAATACTCAGATGTGCTTTTTCCTAGAATGAGGAAGCTGCTTACGCAGTTGTTTTTGTTTTTCTCACAGTGCCCTCTGCAAAGCGTCAGTGTTGCTCATCCAGCCCCCTGTGTCCTCAGACACCAACAGAGCGTAATGAAATGTTTTCTGAAGTCTGCCAAGTGCCAACTGGTGACAAAGTGAAATGAAGAACTGAGCAGTTGCAAATATTGAGAAAGAGCTGTCTAAATTTCATTATTTTTATGGGGCCTTAACATGACTTTTTCAAGATGCTGATCCAAATGGTTCGTCACCTTCCCCCCCACCAGCAACAGAAAGAACAAAATATTCCACAGGTTAAAGCTGCAACTCAAGAGGCAGACTGGAGAAGAAAAAAGATACTCAGGGGAGGCTCAGTTGTGGACAATGACATTACTCTCTGTGGGCTGGGTCTGACTGCAGCACTCTTGAGGAAGGCTTAGGGTGCAAACTGGCTTTGGCCAGTGGCTTGGATAGGTATCTCTGACCCCCTGCCCCCTGTGGCAGAAACAGGGGGTCTTATTCACCCAAAGCCTGGGAGCTGGGAGCAAAGATGCACTTGAGTACTTTGGTGCTCACACCTGAAGGTTTGAGTTGAAAAGCAAGATCTTTGTGCTGTTGCTTGAGAAGAGAAGGCAGAAAGAAACATTTTGTTGACCTCAGAACATGGGAGGAAATCTCATTAATTTTATTAGGCTGTATAAAGATATGAGCTCTTCAGTTTGGACTCTGGAAAATGTGCAGCAGCAGGAATACTTTGACCCCAGTCTATATGCCAGCATGGCGTGAAGCATCCATGAGGGGCTGATCCCACAGCCTGTACGTGGTGTGGACTTTGGTGGGCACAGCACCGTTTTCACTGGTGTAATCTGACTGAAAGGAAGTCACTGCTGATTAACTCTGGCCATAACCGAGTGAGGCTCAGGCCTCCTTTTTGTAGGATGTCTGAAGAGCACTCCAGCTCTGTGTTATATGCCTATGGGTGTAGAAATGTGTGTGCACATGGATATGGATGTACAGAATTTCTCCACATGGCAGTTACATCCTTAGCTCTGTAATTGACACAGCTACAGTGGTGTCCAAAGAGAGATGTGGATTTACATCAGCAGGGGATCTGGCCAGGGATATTCTAACAGAGGCATTTTTAAAAAATATTTTATTTGGAAGAAGAAATAAATTTCTTGTGTCTCAAGAGCATAGAAATAGGATAATTGCTCTTGTTTAGATTTCAGGCCAACATCACCTTCCCCCTCTGAGTAAAATGTCAATGGTGCTTTTCTGAAGCAGGATTCATATCTCTGGTCTTACTCTAGATGGAGTTGGTTTTGCACCAATATAGTGTCCTTTTTTCCAAAACAGCACAGAAAGCCTGGCAAGCTCCTTGTTTACTAAATGCAGCAAAAGGAGTCCTCTGCCTCAGCCCCTTGAATTCAGGATCGTGTCACAACCTGTGCTGAGAAAGCAGCATTACCAACCACAAATGAGGAAGAAACAATACCAGACCCCTGGCATTTCCTAATCTCCCTCCCACGTGTGCACACACACAAACAAAATATAGGAAGAGGCCCAGGGAGAGCTCCCACAAGGTGCAGATGAGCATGGGGGAGAAGCTGTGGCATGGACCTGTTGTTTCCCACTGCTTGGCAATGATTGACATCCACAGTGTTCACTCGACTTCTCTTTTACCACAAAAAAACAGTGGAGGCATTTATACAACTCAAGGTGAAGGCTGTTCTCACTTTACCATCCCTTACAGAGAATGTGGCCCTCTGGGAGCATCTAATTGCAATGCATCTAATTGCAGCCTGGGGTGGCACTTGCTGAGTTGGGGTGTTCAGATCGCAGTCACATGAAAGCAACTAGTGGAATTGAAGTGGAAGACTGTGTTGATGGCTCACTTGTGTGTTTCCTTTACTGGCAGGAGTGGATCTTGTCTCCTCACAGAGCTGGGAGGACTTTTTGTGCTGGGAGAGAAGCATACAGCCTTGCAGGCTGTGTGCCAGGGCATGCCAAGAAACATGGAGGGCTGGCCTGCTGCCCCACTGACACCTGAGGGACAGCTGAAGGACATCCTTTAACCAGCCCTGTGGCTGTGAGGTTGGTGTGAGAGGGCCTGGCATTTACTGTCAGAGGAAAAGGGAAGCATGTGGGTTAGTCATCCAGGACCTTTTCAAGGGAGGTGGTGAAGTAAGCACAAGAAAAGGGGAAAGGGTTTGGTTTGCCCTACTCCCAGACCTTGCCAAGCAGGTACCCTTCACGGAGATGGGACAAAATATCTTGTTCTATCTCATCTTTCAGGCTCTAACCTCTGCCACTGCAATGATGTAAGATGGGGATGCTGAAACAAAGAACATTGATTTAGCATGGTACAATGCAGCAGGCACTGACATCACATCTGAATCTGTAATGAAGTAGGATCAGTTTTTGGGATGGCACTGGTAAATCCCATGTATTTCTGCTTCCAAGGAAGACCATTAAAAAACCTCTGCTTCTGCGGTTGTTCAGAGATGATGACAGATGATGCAAGACAGTAGAAACAGTGGTCAGGATCTGGCCCCTGGCAGCAACAGACCCCATCACCCTTTCAGAGAGAGGAGTAGTGGCAGGATCTCCTGGTTCTTCTAGCACTGGATGTGGGCTCTGCTGCTCAGAAATGGGTCTGTATGGGCTCAGTATTCAAAAATGAAAGCTGAGGTGATCGATAAAATGGGGTAGAAACTGCCAGTTACCTTAGTTCTTAATAATTAACTGGAAGTCCTTTAATGAACTTAGTACCTGAGTGTGGAATTTGGAATCTGACCTTTACTATATCTAGATAAACAGTGTGGCTGAGCCTGTGGCTCTCTCTGCAAGCTCCACTCTCAGCTCACTTCTTGGAGGTTCTCACACTTCATGCTGCAGTCAGGAGCTCAACAGAGTCCAGCATGATTCTTCTCACTGTGCTGTTCCTTTGCATCATTTCCACCTACTCAGCCTCTGTTAAAGGTAGGTCTGTACTGGGCTTGGTTCAGCTTCTGCCTCAGCAGAGGCAAAACCAGTGTGTGTATGCAGATTGCTGTTTTGCCTCAAAAATTATCAGCTTTACTCAGACATGCTTGAGTAATACAAGATGCATTTAGCAGCTAGGTTTAAGTGCTTGTGGCATTCCTCTCAGCAGAGGTGATGGAGGAGATGATGTTTTCAAGTGCACAGGGCCGGTGGTGTGACCAGGAGATCAGAGATCTTGAACTTGCTTAATCAGGATATAATGTGGGGGCACTGACTTCAAAGGGACTTTTCACACGCTCAGAAGTTAAACACATGGAATGCTCTGTGGAGCAGAGCCAGGAAGTCCTCAGGGCTGTCCAGGTTTCAGCTTCTGAGCAGTTGACTCAGCTACCACTGAAGCCAGTAAGAAGCACCCTGTTAGTTTCATGAGAACATTGCTCTGTAGTAAGTCTTGAAAATATGGATGTCTGCAGAAATCCTATGAGCAGAGCTTTACTCAGGTGTCCTGACAAAGTCAACGGTATGAAATCTTGGAGACTGTCTGCTTCAGCAGTGCCAATGTATGAAGCAAGGAAAGGTGTCTGTAGTAGCGACTCTTCATGTACAACTTCATATTAAATTTAGAGCAACAGCAGCCTTATAACATGAGTTTTTAGTTTAATGAGGATGTCTTCATCATGAGGGGAAGCAGGGGAAGCACACCATCCCGGGTTAAGCTGTTATAAAGGCTGTAGAGATGCCCTCATGGGTGCCACCTCCTGCGTTCTTCAGGGAATCTAGGACACTGTGTAAGCACAGAGCAGCAACCTTCCTTCTTCCCTGCCTCTATATACCCTCAGGAGTTATAGAGGAGAGAAATTTACAAACAGTGCCTTTACCTGTGAGTTTATTTCATGAGACTGCCACATTCAGTTTATGGCTAGGTACCAATATGCCACATTTCTGGTGTCTGATCTTCCCAGCTTCCCCTTAATATCAATTAAGCAAAGCTTCTTGATGTGAAGTAATATTTGCTTGTCAGATTCCCCAGGATACTGAGCAAGCATTTTCTCTTTAATTAGTCATCCCTTCAGCTCTGCCAGATTTCCTCTGTCTCTTGTGCAGAGAGATTGAGAGCTAAATTACTGGCCCAAAGACCATTTAGGGCCTCATTGTGAGAGCTGGGATTAGGATTAGTGTTTTACCCTTTCATCAGGCCATGCTGCCTTTTGGAAATACTGAAACATTATTGTGTTCAATTCAGGTAGGTCAGCACACGTAAAACTTTCCTACTGCAGTTCCACTTGAAAAATATTTTCAAATAAGTGGATGGGATTTGCTTTTTAAAGCTATCTGGTGTCAGAGATAGTGGCAAATATGATTTATGAAGGTAGAGCTAGCAAGTAGTTAGAGACACACATGCTGCGCATGCCATATGTATTAATAAAAGGCACAGGACTTGACAGCTGTCTCTACTCATGCAGTGTAACCTTCTGTATAATACAGTATCATGATTTAATTATAGACTTGGCATGTTACCCTTAATGACAGACACTTAACATTACTAGTCAAACTATGTGTTATGCACTCCACCTTGGAAGCAGCACTTCTGACCCCCAGAGAGCTTGGCTGGGCTGATGGCAGTCTGTGTGTCCATCTCTCCTTCCTTCTCAGCAAGTGGGACACTTGCCATCAGCTGAAATGTCAATGGCTGCACAGGCAGCAAGGATTCCAGTGCTGTGCTGAATACAAAGGAAGGAGCTTCTAAAAGTGTGACTTTCTATTTAGAAAAGTTTATATCAGAAAGGTTTTGCAGTATTTCTGTTAAAAAGTACTGGTGCTTTCTTCATGGAAGTTGGCATGAAAATTTAGTTGTGTTGTTTTGAGAACTGGTTCTGGTCAGTGACCCTGTGCCTCTGTCTGTCATCTGTCAAGATCTCCCTTGCCTCTCAGCCTGACCACTCTATTCAGTTGTCTCTCTTGGGTTCCCCATTTCCACAGGGATAAGTGCTAACTCTTTGGGACTACTTTCAATACTGCCTCATCCCTGCTGCTTATCATGGTCCACTCTTGGCCTACCCTTTCCCAGTCTGGCAAACTAAGGGTGTGTTCTGTCCTGGCTCCTGCAGTGTTTTCTATGTGTGAATTGGTGACAGCTTTCAAAACCTCATGTTCTTCTAGCTCCCAGGAATACTTTGCAATTATTCACTTCTTTCATGATACTTGTAAGAAGCTTCTTCATCATTTGCTCATATGTTTCGTTTAGGATGGAGCAGCTCTATTGTATGTGGGGACAAGCAAATGCTAAAAGGGAGGAGGAGGGAAGGAACTCTTACAAAGGAATAAAACCATTTATATGTTAAGCTGTGGGGAAAGGAAGAGGGTAGGTGAAAGGTGCTTTTAACTGAGAATAGGGAGGAAGCAAAACCACAACATGCGCCTTAACTAATAAGAGACTTGTTGCTGAGCACCCAGATAATTTCTCTTGGATGTGCTATTCCCCTACTTTTTTCCTTTAGATAGGACTGTGTTTAGAATGCACCTAGCGGGTGGTATTCCTAAAATCTCAGTCAATAATAAGTCCTTTGCACTGCAGTTTCTGCTGCAAATGAAGGACATTTTGAACTAAGAAGCAACTGGCTCCAAGGGACTGCAGGGAACCTGGGGTGTCCCTGAAAGGTATAGCCACTTTTGAGCAGGCACTGAGCACCCTCTGCTCTCAAGGGTAAATTAGCTTCAAAGCAGGTTATTGGGGAAGGAAATTGGATAGGGAGTTCACAGTAAACCTCCAGGAAGTGTTGCATGCCTCTTGGTGACTTTGTTTTGTAACAGACACACAAGACATGCAAAAGCAGACAAGCCCCATTGTGCCAACATGAATCCTTCAACCTCCCTGGGAAACAGTCAATAGTTACAGCTTTAGCCTCTCACATGTGAACAGGCTGAGCCCATTGGGATCACCAGACCTGCAGCACCACATCCCCAGCTGGCATAAAGTCTATTTAGTTCTGTAGCTTTGCCAACTTACACAACCAACAGATTAAACTTGCTGGAGTGTCCATTTTGCTTAGGGAAAGGTTCTTTGAAGCTGACCTTAATCCACTGCAATGGTATCTGAGTCAACAGGGGAATTATGTGAGCAAAGTTTTAATGAAGCAGGGATTTTGGACTCTTTAAGAACTGCAGAATGTATCCATCCAGCCATGATAGAACTACCTGGTGCACCCACCTAAGTGGGCTTTAAAATATTAAAGTGAAAGAAGACTGATTTTCCTTTCTATCAATGCAGTGATTTGAAATTTATTTGAGTCAGATAAAACAGAGGGATATAACATAAATCAGCATAGCCTGATGAATCTCTGCAGGGGACTTTGAAGACACTGATTCCATTACAGCATGCTTAAGAATTTTTCTGAGATGTTATGAGAGATTTTTCTTCTTTCCCTTGCCCTTCCCTGCACTTGTCATAAGACTGTGATGCATCTCCCTGAGGACAGCACTTTGTGTTTCTTAGATTAACTCTGTTGTGAACTTGTTTCTTCTCTGTACCTCCTGAACTCCATGAAGAAATTTCCAGTGCACTCAGTGGTGCAGCATTTGGGTGTGTGAAGCTGGTGCTGTACTGCTTACAGATAGCACCTAAGGTCACTCTGTGTGTGTTTGCTTTGAGAATGTTAAGAGCACTTAGTGTACAGCCAGCTTATTTTCCCTTCTCTTCCCTTTTGCATTCCTTAAAATATATAAATTAACATCATAGACACAGTTATGGGAACAATTATTTAATTGAAAGAACAATAGCTTAATTATTTTATATAAAAAATACATTCTTAATGTTTTCATCAAATTCATGTCACCCTTGGGCAAGACTCAATGGAAAGATTCCCAATAAATGTTCAAAAGATGAGGAGAATGATTTGGCTCCAACAAATCACATCAGTGCATTTCACATTGCTAAGCACACAAATTATGTGATTACTAACAGTATTTTGAGTTGCAAGTAATTTTGGATTAATTTGTAATACTAACATAGCTGAAGAAAAGAATCTGACAGTCTTAAAGAGCTAGAACAAAGGATTTTGTTACCTTTCATATGTTAAATATGTATGATCAGTGTCAATCACAAAAAACCCCAGCTGCTTCAGAGAGACAGCCTCTGTAATCAAGAGTAGCAGGATCAGTCCCATAAACCTTTTGCTTGTAATTAAATTTTTAATTTTTCTATAGATTTTTTAGAGAAAATGGTGAATTGTGTGAGTTGGTAAATTCTAAAATGCTATTTGTTTTTGCTTTCCAAACAGGGCACACTACTGGGCCAAGCCTAAATAATGACAAGCTATATAAGTTTGCTTACTCAGCTGAAGTCTATGTTGATCGGGTGAAAGCATCACTGCAGAGAAGTGCAGGATATCGGATTTCTTCTGGTGTGGATGTCAACCTCTTATGGAGAAATCCTGACAATGATGATGACCAGCTGGTCAAAATTACGGTAATTATTGCCATCAGACAACTTAAAACATACACAATGTTTTCTGCACTTATCTAGCTGCTAATCTAATCTCAGAGAACTCACTTTCAGAACATGAGCTAAACCTTTTCTTTTCCAGTCTCATCAACTAAACCCAGCTGCTTTGATGATCTAATTCCTATAGAATAAGATTTCACAAATATCTATCTAACATCATAAGCCAGAACTTCAGAATATCTCCTGTATTTAGAAATTGCTTCATACAGCACCTATAGCTTCAAACAACTGGTGTGCAAGCCCTTACCCAAGGGGCAATATATTGTCCTCAGTTGTAGCTGCAAGTATTTCTAAATAGAAACTGGGTTTGGTGCTTCGCTTTCTGATGAGATTTTCTGGCACTTATTTCCCCAGTGGAGAGCACTGTCTTCTTTTGTAAACTTTGACATAGTAATCGTGGGAGATTAATAATTAGAACCAGAAATGCAGAAATAAAGAACATTTATTATGTGATTTAGTCTATCTAGTCTACTCCAGGCCAATTCTACACTGCTCTCTACATTAATTTTCTCTGCTTTTACTTTGCTAGATGAAGGATGTTCAGGTTGAAAACGTGAATGAACGTGCAGCTGCTAAAAACATATTCAAAGGAAAAAGCACGGAGAAGATCATCGGGAAAGAGTATCTGGAGGCTTTACAGAGGCCCATATTGATTGAGCTAGTCCGTGGAAAAGTAAGAGCCTGTCTTTTAAAATTCAGTCCCTAAGTGTTGGGAAGGATGGATAAATATAATTTTTCATAATAATACAGCCAGGATGAAAACAATCCTCCGTACTGGCTGGACAGTATCCTTACCTACAGATAAGTCCAAAAGTCAAATGGACTGTTCCATCTCACCCCCAAAACGTATGGTTCACCCTGCACCTGTAACCCTCCCCTAAAACATCAAGTGTCTGTAACCACATTGGCCCAAGCCTTGTTCCAGCCCACCTTGAAGCCCCCTGATAAGGGGTCTCCGAGGGGCCAGATGCTCTTTCGGAACTCCCCCTCCTCTTGGAACTTCCCCTCTCTTGGATCTTCCCCCCTCATAGGACCTCCACCCCCTCCTAGAGCATCCTTTTGTCTCTCCCCTCCCCCATCCCCTCCAAGCAGGACCTTTCTCCATCCCTAATAAACCTTATATCCCAAGAGCAGCCTTCAGAGATTTCTCATCTCCATTCACCTAAACCATCCTGGAGCCCAGCGCTCCCTACACCTAAGGAAACACGACCCATAACTTTTGTAACAGACTTGAAGAATTTACCAGTTCACTATTCACTCAGTGTTTTTAATAACCCATTGTGTCCTATCATTCTGTGTGAAATACAGTAGTTTAGAACAGACTGTGATTTACCTTCTAGCCCAAGCCTATTGTGTATTGAGAACACCACACAATGGGTAAGTAAAGAGCAGATTGTCCACAAAGATAGGTACACATGTGGATATATGCACAATTGCTGTGTGGGATTTGTGCTATTGACTTCAGCAAGGGTAGGATTTTGTCCAAGATCTGAAGGCAGAAAAGAAGATAGAATTTTTCATGAGGGATGTTCTACTGAGTCTGTGAGGAACAATTTAAATAACTTGAAACCATTATCAAGTATTTTTTTTACCAGCATTGCTTTTCCCAGCTCTTTGGTTTTCTTACTTCTGTGTCACCTGCAGTTTCAATGGTGCCAAATTAATGAGCTTGATGCTGAAAGAGCTACAGCCTTACATATTTTTCCCCCAATCCAAAGATCAGAAGAGAATGGTCAGAGAGCAGATGTGTCTCAATATGTGCCTGGGTTTTATATCCTGTCCTGAGAGAACACTGTCCCAGCACAGGAGCACCCATGTTCATTTGTAGCTCTCAGTGTCCCCATTCCTCTGACACACTTTCTCTGAGAAGGAGATTCAAGTACATCCATCCCACTCTCTTTTTCCCTGCAGAGCTGCTTATGAGAGCTGCCCTTGTACTCAGCCTGCTCTTTTGGCCAGGGAGTGGTGAGGCTTGAGCCATGGCTGTTCCTGCCTCCTGCCCCTGGTCCTTCACCCTCCTGTTGCTTGTGGCATTAGGCCAAGAGCCCCATTTCCCCCCCTGCACCCAAGCATTGCTTGGCAGGTGGGGCATGGGCAGAGGGGCTGTGAGAAAGAAGGAAGGTTGAAGGTCACACTCCCTTTTCCCATCTGCAGGGTAGAGTGAGGGCTGTGACACTCTATCCCAGCAGGATCTTTACCTCCTGCTGTAAATAGGCACTGAGCACATACCCTGGCCACCAGCTCAGCCTGCTGAATTGCAGCTGCTATCAGACCTGCTCAGTAACTTTCAGACTCAGCCCTGTCATCACTTTTACACAACATAAAAAGAAACAGGACAGTGCTGGCTGTGAACTGTACACATCCCTACATGAGAACAGAGGTACCAGAAGAACACATTCAGAATGCATCTGCTCCTCATACATTGCACACTTTCACATGCTGAGGCTAAGATGTAGTATTAAAACCTGGGTTTTTTCTCAGGTAGTAGGGTCTATACACTCCTTTTATGATTTCTTTGTGGTATGACAATTTCATCCCTGGCACAGTAATTTCACTTTTCAGGGTTACCCCAAGATAACACACTGATTATAGTTACAGTTCCAGATAAAGGGGCACTTTTAAAGCATCTTGAATGCAAAGTGGAGGTGCAAAGTCTCCTTACCAGAGGAGAGGCTCAAGCACAATAGTTGACCCATGAAGTGCAAAGGTTGTGATATGTTTGACACGTCATTGAAGTTGTTCTATCTGTGATTTACCTATGATTCATCCTGAGTTTTTGTAACTTGTGATTAAAGTGCAACAGATATTATGCCCCTGTGGGGAGTGGTTACCTGAGGATGATGCAGAAAAATGAGTTGCCTGTGAAATTATGAAAAGTTTCCCATTTCCCATCTAAATTCTCTCTAATTCCAGGAGGAGAGATGCTCACTGCACTGAAATTGTACTTAGGTTGAGCTGAAGGCCAAAACATGTTTGTACAGTTATTGTCAGGCCCTGCAGCCTCTGCAGTTTGCTCAAAATAAGCAAATAACAGATCCAAATTCAACTTCCTAATGAGAAAAGAAAAAAATAAAGGTAGTTTTTCTAGAGTGGATCTTCAATATTCCTTTCTAATTTAATGAGATCTGTTGTACACTTTTGAATGCTTTTTATATACTTTTTTCCCTCCATTCCTACAGGTCAAAACCTTCTACTCATATCAAAATGAACCTGGTTTTACTCAGAACATTAAGAGAGGTCTGGCTAGCCTTTTCCAGCTACAGCTGCACTCTGGCTCTTCTCGTGAGGTATGGTGCTCTATCAGGCAAGATTATCATCACCTGAGGAACAGGCAGAGTCTGATCTGCTCTGGAAGGCAGACCTGTGGCTTCTGCTGACTTCAGAAAGAGTGAACTGTGATAGAAATCAGTGCTTTGATCACATATGAGGTCAGGGATGTAAAGACAGTCTTCTGAATATTTGGTGACACAAATCAAATTGCTGCAATTAGCATAAAGTAGTGCAATTCATTTGATTTAAAATGCCTTTATAAATTTAGCACAATTTGGTAATAAACCACCTTAAACCAGGTCACTATAAAAGTGATTATACTGCCGTTTAAAGGTGGTTGATTCCTAAATTCAACTCAGTGGAGTCCCATTCTAAATCCAAGTACCCACACAAAGTCAGCACTGATTTAGCTGCATCCATTTAAGTTGCCTTCCATTGTTAAATTTCTAAGTCTGTCCCCTTGAAGAAAGCTCGAATTTAACTCAAATTTGTGAGTATAGTGTGAGCTACCTGGTATTTCCTAATTATTTTGTTTAAACAACCATTGTTACTTTTCTTCCTAGCCATCTAATGAACAGTACCCCTGCTAATCCAAAGCAGATTGTTAGAACCACTGACAACCTCAAAACTGTTAAATAAACCCAAGCAGTGCAGCATCTCAGGTACAGGATTCCAACAGTGGAGAAAATGCTTCATCTTTGGAAGGTGTTGTGGGGGTCCCAAAGATAAATTCAAGAAATTGTGCTAATCTAACTCTGTTTTCCAAGGTGGACATTTCTGGGAAATGCAGTACTACTTACCATGTGCGGCAAGATCAAGTGACTAAAATAAAAGACCTGGACTCCTGTGAAATAGAAAAGAAAAGATTTACCAGCCACAGCCGGGTATGATTTCTTTAACAAAATAAAATCTATTCTTCCTATTTGAAATATATTCTAGCAGTTACTACTCATCTTCTCAGAAGTCTTTCTTGCATTAGAGTAAGCAATTTCTATATGTAAATTTTGTAATTTTACTAGCCCAAATGTCATATGTAGTTTCCAAGGAGAGAACAGGGAATGGATTCTCCTGTGGTGTAAACCACTTAGGCTCAGCTGATACAGGTGCAGTCATAGTGATAATAGTAACCTTTTCCCCATCTACTGTAAGTGCCAGGCAAGATGCTGACTCCTGAATGGAGCCTGGTCAGGCTTGCTGGGAAGGTCAAAGGCTTCCCTAATGCACAGGTGTAATACAGGGGATGTGCCATAGATGTAACTGAAGCCCTACTACAGCCCTAGTGGTCCTCCACTGTTAGTAAATGTCTTTCTACGTAGTCACTGTTGAGGGCAGGCTGGACACCTGCTGAAGGCACTGAGATTCTCCACATCAGAAACTGACCTTTCTCAGAGAAGTACAAAGACAGCACACACTCTCTTAATAAAACTGCGTTAACACTATGACTCGGTTCCCAATTTTTACACTTACCACAAAGACATAATCTTGTTTACAAAGCAACAAGCAAAGCAAATCATCTTGTTTGATCTGAGTGTTAGCATGACAATGTCATTTACAAGACATTTCTCTAGAAAAAAATTCTTGTCTTATTTAAAGCATATCTTAAACTAAATATAGTACTGGATGTTTTCTCAGTTGCAGCCTGCTCCATAGCTTCCTGTCCTGCTCCTACTGTCTTTTACCCTCTTACATACTAAATTGGAAGCACATTGTAGAAGTGAGTGACTTCTTACTGCAGAGGGAATACTTGAAAACCCGGTTCATAGGCTTAATTTGAGAGGCCAGCCTATATGCATCTTCCTCATATGGCTCTACTTCAAGTCTTGCCCTCATTTGGAATGGTGAGCTCTTTTCTGATTCATTGTTTGTTGAATAGCTCTCTTCCTGTTTTATTTTTTAATTACTTTCAGATCTTGGATGTCAGTACAAAAGCCACATCTGCTACAGTTTATGTGCTGGAAGACAGTTTCATTAAATCCATTAAGGCAGAAGAAAATTTCGCTTTTGTTGTGAATTACCGACGAAAAACAGGTGCCAAAATAGTTTCAAAGTAAGTTGGGCAATTGGACTGTCATTGATGGTAGCAGGACTAGTGGTTCAAGTCAGGTTATATGTGTAGGTCTTCTAGGATTGAGATCGAAGGCTGTGAACTCTCCAGGTAAGGATTTAGGTCTCCTTTTTATCCATATACTGGTCCAACTGTGCCAAGTATCAGGTCGAACTTCAATTAAGGGTTTTACCACACTGCAAATAATAAATAATGGCATCTATAAGAAGCTAACAGGGAACAGCAGGAATTGGCCAAACCCTTTTAATCTACCCATTACTGCTATAGGTGTTCTGTCTTCTCAGTTCTCAAGAAATACTTCTGATGGATTTCCACTTCTAGCATGTGAGAGTTTAGAAGTATAGAAAATAAAATCTACTGCATAGAAAGGAAACAACAGTGAAACCTAGATCTGTGTTAGACTCCAGACTCCAAAGCACTGAAAGTGTGGAAATGCTCATACAAGATAAATGATTCAGGCATCTCAGAAACAGTAGATATTTTAAAAAAAAAAGTACATTCAAAAATCTCACTTTCCAGATCTTTTAAGAGCAAATATACGCAACATTTCAGAATATATGTGAATACTGAAGGCTGTTTATCAAGTGTTATAAACCTGTGCTTTAGAAAGTCTCTCATACGGGTATTTTATTGCACATAACTCTAGCAGTAGTTTTGCTGGTATCAGCTATTTCTGTTACCTTAAAAACCCCACAGACTTGCCATGTTTTGAACATTTTAAAATAAGACTTCAATCAGTCTGTATTCTATATTTTTTTGTCTGTGGAGGGGTTTTTTTTTTCTCTTGGTGTGATTTTTGCATCTCTGTGCTGATGGTTGGGCTCTAATGGTCTCCTCACTGTGTGGATGTACAGGCAGAGGCTGGAACTGAAGTCAGTCCAAGCTGGGATGGGACTGATCGCTGCAAAGCAAGTCGCTGGTGTGATCAAGACCTTGGACCCCAAATATGTTGCTGTGCCCCTGGAAGCAGAGCCAGTGAAATCTGAATGCAAAAAGTGCCCTTCAGTAAGTAAACACAGGTTCATTGGACATCGGGTTGCTTAGCTGAGCAGGACAAGTGTGAAAGCAAATTTTCTGTTCAAGCAGAACTAGGACAGGTCCAGCATAGCAATATAAATTACATTCTGGAGTAGGGATTAGGAAGTGTTGCAATGGTGCTCACCCCATAAGAGTGTCGTAAGACCTACCACTAAAAGTACCAACCTTTTTGCTCTCTTTTAAAGACTGCAATATTTCTCCAGATCACTAGAAAATACAACACCCTGTTGTTTTATCTCACCTTTGTCAGCCTTGAGCTGGCAGAAGCATATTTCCTCTGGATGGAAAAATAATTTTTAGATGGCTGACTGGTGTTTGTAAACAGTTCTGTCATGGAGGAGCTGAACTGTTCCTATGAATTCAAGTTCATTAGCCATTCCTCAGGCAGGATAAGCATTTTTTGGTAATATATTTAACCTCTTCTGACCCCGAGGAAGTATTTTGTTTAAAGGATTTTATAGGTATTTTGCAAGTATAAAATGGGGCTTTAGTATTCTTGGGAAGTCCAATAATGTTCTCATTTTTTCCTGGGAAACACATTGCCTTGTTTTTTTTATATTTAAGACATCTGAAGGCTAAGAGCATGGTACTGTAAATGCATCAACTTTTGTTTTACTAATGATGTTCATCATAAGCTAAATAGATTACTACAGTGACTGTGAGCAAACAGTATTAATGCTATTACCACTGAGGAATCAATGGGAACATTACTTTAAGGACCATTATTCTCTGGTGTTGATAAGCAAGATACAGCTTGTATTCAGCACACATAATTTTAGTCCTCCAGAGATACACTTTATGAGCACAAATATGTTCCTGTATTGGAACTTTTGCTAGTTATTTGGAAGTAGTATTACACTGTGATATTTTTTCTTGTCTAATTCTTGTGGAGCCACGGAGAAGACCAAAAACACATATTTGGGGAACATAGAAATGATGCTGCACGTGCACTGGAGGAGTTCTGAGCACGGACTATCAAGGCATCCTAAACAGTTTAAGGACAGGTGGTTTTTCCCTGACTCTGCCTGTTGGTGTTTGTGCTGACCAATTTGTCACTTGGGACTGAGTTTGTCATAACAGTTACAATTTTCAGACCAAAATAACAAACACAGGGTATAATTCCCCACTGCCTGGGGACTGAGCTATGTCATTATAAACCTAATGGCATGAGGAGAATGAAGTTCTGCTTTCTCACTGTATTTTTCAGTAACTGCTATGAAAAGATGGGCTCTATAAACAGAACACTGTATCCAAAGCAGCAACATAGCATATGGTACTTATATTTCATAGTATACATTAATGCCCTGCTGACATGCTGTGCCTTAGAGTTTTACATTTTCAAAGCCCTTTTAAAATTGTAACAGGTCTTATATCTATCTTTATGAATTTGATAAAATAACCATTACTACCCTCATTTCCCAGACAGCAGCACTAGCTTCTCTGAGGTTATGGCAAATGTTTGCACTTAAAATTAGGTCTAGGTTTCTGTGTTTAGACAATATAAAGCATCCTCTTTTCAGAAGAGCTCATGTATCTTACACTCTTTTATGCTCATGGTTCATATGGGGAAAGATTCTTGCCCCTTGTGAAGGTGAGGTGGGTTTGTTCTGTCTTGTGCAGCCACCCTTTGTACATTGGTAAACAGCTGTCATGCACTGACATTCAAAATCAACTCCTATTTGGTTTAGAACCTCTTGATTTGGCTGGAGTTTTCCTAGAATGCCCACAAGACTTCTGTTCTGATCTCTGTCAGAGAAACACAGGTCTGTGTCCCTGCTGAGTTGCCGTGTGGAAGTGTGTGCATCTTGTGGCTGAATGTTTGTGTTATTAAATCCAAACTGCCTGACGTGCACATCAGGAGAATGAGGGCCCTCAGAAAAGTCAACTGTGAACAGTGTTTTTAATGCCATGGTCACTGCAGGAGATGGCAGCTGCTCCTGAGCACCCCCAAAAGGAAGGCTTGGTCTCCACTCTCCTTTTCTTGAGATGGCTCCAGCTTGCATCTCTCACCTTGCTTGTCTCTAGGGTATGGGCCAAACTGACTAAGAGCAGCCCACACAGCTGGGCTCTGCACAGGAGAAAATATAGGAGTAATGAGGTTAAAGGGTTTCTTTTCTGGACTGTGGTGCAACTTCAACAGGGGGAATAAAAAGTGACCTATATATTTATCCAATTTCATTCAGTAATAGCAACACTGACCTTGGTGCTAAGCACTAATTACCAGTTGTGGTTAAAAGACCCATCTGTGCCTCAGAACATGAGCTCCTCCCAGATGGTCATTAATCCACAGGAAATATCCTATGTCTCAATCATTGTTGCCTAATTATTGTTTGTTACAGTCAATAGAAGTTGCACTCTGTACTGATGAATGATAGTTCTAATTGCCAGCAGGTTCAAGTGCTATTGCCCAACACAAAATCCACAGAGGGGAACAATTTTAGTGAAGGTCAGATGGGTGCTACTGTTATTTCCCACTCAGGAAAACTGCAGTAAAGACTGCTGCAAAGAACAGCTGAGTTTTCACCTAGGAATGTGGATAACTTGAGATAACAGAGGCAAAGGCGAGGGAGAGAAGAAAGGTCAAAATACTGGCACCAGTTTCTTTTGGGAGTGTATGTGGAAGGACAGATATGAGTGCTTTGCTACCATGTTGGCTCGTTCAGGTAAAAGATGTGGTATGGGAATAAATACAGCAACCATCATTTTACCTTTCATTTTGTACAATAGCTACAAATCTCTTTGTATGAAAGTTTATGAATAAAAAATGGGAATAACTTCTTGGACATTTAGTCCTGTTCTGTACTAACCCAAAATTACCATCTTCTCAAAAAACATGATTAATTGGTGAACTGGGGATTATGCATCTTCCTTTTTAAGAAAAAAATCTACTTAGGAAAAAATGGGAACATAAGGAAAACACCATATTTACCAGAAAGCATAGTAAATTTGCAAGAGAAAATAATTCACTTTATTCCAGTTACAGTAGAAATAAATTTTATTGCACCAAAAGAGATTGCAGTTAAGGTCATGTACAACATCAGGAAAATACTAAAGAGTTGGAAGAGAGACAGCTATAGAAAGATTTCTAAGATATTTGTGCTGGGATATCATAAATTACCTAATACTGAGCTAAAGGATCATCAGTCTGTTGGATTTCAGCTACTTTGAGCAACAGCTGGCCTACATATCTGGATTTATTTAGTCTGATTTTGAGAAATGAAACCACAATCTGAGATTTGACATAATATGAATTGTTTTGCAGCTTTCTGAGCACTGGCAGAGCATCAGAGAACAAATGCATCCTGACAAAATTTCCAAACCTGAAGCAGCAAAAAGCTTTTTGTCCTTCATTCAGAACATCAGAAAAGCTACAAAAGAGGAGATACTTAAAATTATTAAAAGTGAAAATAAAGAATATCTGTAAGTTACCATGAACAAGCTTTTTCAAATTTTAAATTGCTGGAAAATGCAGAAGGGCAAATTGCATACAGAGATTGAGTTCTACTGGTGATGTCCTAGCAATGCAAACCCAGTGTTCAGTACTGTCTACAGGAAAAGGATTTTTTTTTTACGTTTTGTTTGTTCTTGTATAATAATAAATTTTCAGTACACCCTTCAGCCACCAGGGTTGTATCTACAGTGCAAGGCCAACATGCTTTGTAGTTTAGCCAAAGGTTCTCAAACCAAATGGTTGTTCTGAAACAGTCTATAACTTGTTCTAGACTTCCCATTTGTTTCCTTCAATAGGAAATACAACAAACAAGGGGAACATTGATGCCTGGGAATTGTCCTAGTATTAGAGTTTGGTTGTAAACTGCATGCACACTGAAACTTGAGAGTTGAAAAGCATTTCTGAGTAATATGGTAGAGATCTTTCAAATAAATTGTAGCAGTTGTTAGCAATGGAGATAAACCTGAGAGTGACTCAGGTAGCATAGAAGCCTTTTCTCTATGTGTCACTGTACATGCAGTACTAAAACACATCTTTATATGTACAACCTTTTCCTGTAAAGTTCAATACATTTGTGATAGTTCAGTTTTTAATACTTTTTGGTCTCCTATTTGCATAAGTTCAAATACTATCCATGGGTTTGAGTTTGTGTACCATTTTGAGGTGAAAGTTCAGGGACAATTTTCCAACAAGAATAAAAGGTTCTCTTACTTGCAATGAAGAGCTGTTTCAGTACATTAGTATCTTTCTCCCAATATGCAGCCAAGTCTTTTCAGTATTGACTGGCTCATTGCAATGATAATGTTCATTTATTTGCACTTCTTTGTAGTCCACAGGTGGTGGATGCTGTAACCTCAGCTCAGACACCAGAATCACTGGAAGCTGTACTGGAGTTTCTTGACTTTAAGGATGCAAGCACTTTTATCCTGCAGGAGCGGTTCCTGTATGCCTGTGGATTTGCTTCTCGCCCCAGTGAAACGCTCCTGAAATCGTTAACTGTAAGCCCAAGGACACAACAAATAGAGCTAATGCTCTTATGCCTTGTTCCAGTCAAAGGGGAAGACAAGAAACAACTGTTGCTGTTTCTAATTTTCCTTTCTTTATGCCTTCCAGGGTTTCCTATAAGTTTGCTATTAACATAGAGCCTGCAAACTACAGACATTCCTAGGTCCAGACTGAAAGTCTATTTACTTTGTAAAGTATTTCCAGAATCCATTACTTGAAAAAGAAACATAATACTGAATGTTAGGAAAATAATTTGAGGATTGTTTGATTATTGCCTTATGAAAGTCCTGTAATCAGAATTGTAAATCCCCCCCCCCCCCCCCCCCCCCCCCCCAAGATGAATCTACTTGAAACACTGAATGTAACTGAAGGTGAAAATGGCACAGAGTTATTATATGTAATATATGTAATGATAGAGCTGTGCTGTGCTTAGCCTGGGCCCTGACCATCGTGGTAATCACTGTCCTTGCATTGCATTAATGTTCACAGAAAGTGAGGGAGCTTATTGAACCCACAGCAGCGTGGCTTTCTTTTTTACACTGAGACACTAAACAGCTTTGCTTTTGCATGACAGGAGAAGTTCAAGGGGGATGTTGCCAGTCAAGAAATCAGAGAAACTCTTGTCATTGTCATGGGAGCGCTCATTAGAAAGCTGTGTGACAGGGAAGGCTGCAAGCTGCCAGTGAGTATCTGATGGTCACTGCTGCCCAAATTCTGGTCTGCAACACATGGGACTGATCCCTGGTGACATTACTGGGAGAGCATGACAGACATGGGAAGCATATTCTCCCACTTAAAATAAGTCCATGAACTCCTATGTATGATAGAGGATTGTATTTTTTTAATAATGACTTCTACTTTGTCAGATTTAGGCTTTTCCCATTTCTGTAGCTAAACCTGTCAGCAGAAGGAGTGCTTGTGCTGCCTTGTCCAAAAGCTTTGCATATCCTCAGAGAAACACTGGCAAACTCGGGATCTGTTTATTGTTTGCAATCACCTTAGGTTATTTCACCTGGGTGAAGAAAATTCATTGATTCGAGTACTCAACTGTGCCCCAAACATGCATAGAAGACTTTTACTCTGAGCATGAACTGAGTAGATGCTGGTGTTAGGTGATGAGAATGATCAGACAAGACTGCTGGGTCAATGTTGTTCAGCACTGCAGCACACTGCTGAAAAGATACAGAGCCCTTTTAATTACCTGAACAGACCCTTTTAATTTCCCTTGTTAATTGCCAAGTAGTTGTATAACATTATGTTATGAAGCACTGAAGAACACTTCCCTTGCCTTTTTTTGTGGGGACTTGTTGGCCCCACAAGGAAGACCTGTGAAGTCCCTGAAACAGGTCAGGAGCAGCTGGCAAGTGATAAAACTTTGGATCAGGTGTCACTGTGGCTGCAGTCACTTTGGTTATGCTTGAAGGAAGCCATCAATGTACAAATGAAACCTTTGCTAACCCTGTGCCACAAAAACATGCCAGAACTCAGCCCTGCCCCTTCTACTCCTGCAAGGGGAAAAAGGGAGGTTTATGATCACCATTTAATGTGCTGTTGATTTTGTTAGGCTGTTGTGGAAGCCAAAAGGTTGATTCTAAATAGACTGGAGAAGGCCAAGAAAGACGACAATGTGCAGATGTACCTGCTGGCACTGAAGAACGCGCTTCTTCCCGAAGCAATTCCAGTACTCCTGAAGTATGCTGAGTCAGGAGAAGGGCCCATTAGCAGCCTTGCTGCCACTGTCTTGCAGAGATACGATCCCTCTTTTCTCACCAAAGAGGTAAGAAAATATACTGCCCAAGAGAAGAAGTGCAGGAGACTGTATTAAAGAGTGAATTAAGAGTTCATTTCTTGTTATCAGCAACGTGGACAGTGAGGTTGAGTACAGATTCAGTAAGTTTGCTGGTGGCACCAAGCTGTGTGGTGTAGTCGACATGCTGAAGACAAGGAATGGACTGGTGGACTGTCAGCCTTCGGCTCCAGGGTCACACACAGCCACCAAAGGTGGCATGCAGTCTGCGGGGAAACCGAGCTCTGCTCACCAGAGGGAGCACTTGGACACCTGTGCAACCCTTGTTCCTTCTTGTGCTTTCATACAGGGAGAGCACACAAACTAAGAGAAGGGTAAAACAGCTGCATTTTAACCTGCAGCCTCCAAGAATTGGAAAATACATAGAAAATAGTGGGACAAGAGGTCCTGCCTCTGCTGCATTACCTTGCATTCCATTTCATCCCTGCTGCCAGGCCATCAGGATTGAGGGCTGTTGGGGTGCTGCTCTGCAATGAGCATGCTGGAGGCCATTCAGTGGGACTATGTGGCTTTCCACAGACTCCCCTGTAATGAAGATGTGTCACAATCTTCTCAGGGACACACCATCACAGGCACTATCTAGAAAATTATAATAACAAGATTCCTGGTTTTTAAAGTACATGTTTCCTTAACAGTCAAGAAAATGCCTGTCTTATCTATAACACATTTGTTCTTAGTGCTGCTACCTATTTACAGCCCTGCTTTGAAAACCAGTGTGTAAGGCTGTATTTGGTCTATGGCTGAGAGAACATAACAGATGTCCCACTTGTCCTTGTGGTCACTGAGCTATACATGTCTCAACATTCCAAAAGGACCATGAAAAACATGATGCTGAAAATATATCCTTATGTATTAGTCTTAGCTATGGAGCTAACTAAGCTAACTTAAGCTGATATTATAAATGAGATTCCAATCTGTACTTTTCCTAGTCATCTGCATGAGCACTGAGTGAATAATGTGTTTCCTGACCAGGTGAAGGAAACAATGAACAGGATATACCACCAGACTCGCAAAGTCCATGAAAAGACAGTGAGAACCACAGCAGCTGCCATCATCTTAAACAGTAACCCATCCTACATGGAAGTGAAAAACATCCTGCTCTCCATTGGGGAACTGCCTATGGAAATGAACAAGTACATGCTCTCCATGATCCAAGATATACTGCGCTTTGAAATGCCTGCAAGGTACATTAAGTTCAGTGTAAATAAGCACAGCCTTCCTTACAAAGAACACATAGGTTCTCATTAATTACTAAAACTTAAGGAGAGTATAAAAGGATATCTTATTTTTATGTCCCTTGTATTGTTATTTCAGAATAAATCCCTTAATTTCAATATAATTATTTTAACAGATATTCACATTTCACAGGTACAAAAAAATAATTGGGCATCTGACTTGCATTACTGTGAAAAATGTCTTCTGTTGATCTTACTTCTCTCAATGGGTCCCTTGCTTTTATATTTTCAGAACCAGTGATGTGGAAAAATTTTAAACATCACAGTCTGAGAACAAAAATAATCAATATATATCTTCTCATTAAAACCATTAATTTTCAAGCAAGACCTTTGCTTGCCTTTCTTTCTATGACTGCAGGGAGTACCTGAAATTGAAAGAGAGACTCCAGGTTAGGGCAGATTTTTAGTGGGAAAAGGTAAGGGTTTTGAAGACCCTCTTTCCTACTGGGAGATTCACCCTCTCTCAAATTTGATCTTTCTATCAAAAAGTAATACATTTGGTACTGTAACATTTTTATATCTCAAAAATTGTTTTGTTTGTTTGTTTTCAAATCCCACAGCAAAACAGTTCGGCAAGTTCTGAAGGACATGCGTGCCCATAACTACGATCGCTTCTCCAAGATGGGCTCTTCCTCTGCCTACACTGGATATATCACTCGTATGTAACCATGAGACTGCCTTTAAACCCTCTTTGTGTTCCCAAACATTTCATTAATCCACTAGTGTAGTCACAGGTATCTTCTTTCTTTTTTAATTAAGGTGGTCCTGATGTGTCATCCACATACAGCCTCGACATCCTCTACTCTGGCTCTGGCATTTTACGGAGAAGTAACATGAACATCCGTGTTTTCGACAGAAGCACTGAACTTCATGCCATCCAGGTAACTGCCACACTGTGAAAATGTGTTTGAAAGAAAACTAATCTCAGGCTAGTGATCTGCATGTGGGTAAATTCTGCTCAGCACCTAAAGGGCAAAAACATGGCATGAGATTATTTTATTTTCCATTTTACTAAGTGCTCTTCCTAGTTCCATTAAGTCTTAACCTCATACCTTCTCCACTACAACTACATAAATTAGAATTAGGCATTTGGACATTAAGAAAATATGTGGTGTTGTTAATAGACTGAGTCAGGCAGGATTTTTTCATTGATTCTATATCACTGTTCCTTCATAGGTGGTTCTCGAAGCTCAGGGCCTGGAGTCCATAATAGCTGCAACTCCTGATGAAGGCGAGGAAAACCTGGACTCCTTTGCTGGCATGTCAGCCATTCTGTTTGATTTCCAGCTCAGGCCAGTGACATTTTTCCAAGGGTATGGTGATCTAATGTCCAAAATGCTCTCAGCAACTGGAGATCCCATGAATGTGGTGAAAGGACTTGTCCTCCTCACAGATTTCTTACAGGTACTAACAGCACACTATTTGCTTCTTTTTCTGTCTCTTAAGCACAGATGGTTCCTCCCCCACTCTGCTATTGTAGGACACCTTATTTTCTTTATTCTCAATGCTGATAAACCTGACCAGTCTTACACAGGCTGTATTTATTAGGGGAGCAATAGAAAAGTAATGAGTATTAAAAACCATAATGAAATTACATGAAAAGCAACCTAGAATGAAGGTGAGAACAGATATTCTAGAAAATAAAACAGAAACTTAACAAAAGCAAATCCAACTGAGTTTCCTGTTGAGAACTCATATTGCTCTCACCTATGACCTCCCCTCCTACAGTTTCTTGTAATACAGTATTGTCCCATGTGGTCACCTAAGTTTTCCTCTTCACCAGTTGTCCAGGGACCTTGTGTCCAGTTAGGCAATAATTGTCAGGTGAATGCATCAGAGAACTTTCCTTCAAAGAGCAATGCTAAGAAGTCCGAATTTCAACTGTTTATTTCTAGGCAAAACAAGGAATTAAAATGAGGATTATACAGTTTTTATGCAACTGTCACCCCAAATGATTTGCTAATTTTGTGCTGAAATAGATTCACATATAAATATAACTGGCTACATAATGTGTTATTGGAGGACTAAGAATCTAGACATCTCTCTTGAAGTGCAGGGTCAGCACTTGGTTTGATATCTTTGCTCTTCCCAAGCTGGTATCTCCTTATAACATGTGGATTTAACAGCTGTACTCAGCTCACTAAACACCTGCAGTCTCAAACTTTACTTTTGGCTTTTCCCATTTAATTCTCAGCAAAAGAAAATGCCAAAAGTAGATTATGAGAAATCCACTCTGTGCAAAATTACACAGAAACACCCTCTGCACATTATAGGTTTCTCCATCCAGAACCCAGCTCAGCTCCTTCTAATGGTATTTTAAGTCCAAAGGGCTTCCCAAGTAGTGCCCAAAATGGCTAACTAAAGCTCATTCCAACAGTGCTTTACAGTTCACACGCAGATTATGGGCAAAAACTTTACTGTGACCTATTTAACAAACAGACCGCAGAGGTGAGAAAGATAATCATGTCTAGTCCTGAGCATAGGGAGCATTTAGAGAACTAAATATTTCCAACTGCTGTGCATGCACGAAGCTCCAGACATACTCAGGCTGAATCAGCTGGCTGGGCACCCCTAGAGCTCTGTCCGCCAGCAAATTGTCCATTCCTTGCCTTTGGAGAACCTCTCAAATGTTTGGGGCAGCCAGGGCTGGGACTGTGTGCCATTTTTAACAATTTCATGGTGCAGTGTTTTCAGTCAGCCACTGCCTTTTTGGGAGCCTTGGCAGCAGTCTTATCTCCACACCACACAAGGGCAGGAATGGTTGAAAGTGCTACTAAGCACAGCTTTAGGCTAAGCTGCCTTTTAAGCACAGTCCATCTTTCTAAGAAGGTCTTATAGCTACACTCCAACTCAACAGCACATCAACATGATTTTGGCACTTCGTGTGGCCACAGTGTTGTTTGAGGGCTAAGAATAACCAGAAGTTCTGTTCCTGCTATAAAATAAACAGCTCTCATAAAACTGTTTTCGAGACTCCTAAGTCATCTGCATTAAAGTTTAGCAGTGTTAATAGTTCTCCTAGGCAACACACCTGCCAGAAGCCCAGAGAAATTAAATACTGTATTAATAGGTCAGAGAAGCCACTGAAAGCCAGAGTCCAGTGGAAGGTAGCCAGTTCCCAGAGAAGTGCTTGTTGCAGCCATCTTTGTGTTGCATTACAGTAAGACTGCAGTACATAAAGACACTTTCTTATTGAAACACGGCACATTTCAGCATTTCAACATTTTAAACAGTAACTGATTCTGATCTTTTGGGTTATATTTTCCACTGCAAATGAGACACAAAGTTTAAAATAGGAAAGCAAAGGAAAATACTTCTCTTTAGGAGGCTGGGTCCCTGTGATTTACACCTCCCATCAGCCTGGATTGGATTTGCACATGAGACGAAGGACAGGGCTGAGCTATAAATAAGGAAATAGATGAGCTAGTAAAACACAAGACAAGTGCTCCTTAGCTTCTCTGCTGGTTTCAGTGACAAATACAGCTTAATTCTAGGTAGCATTTAAGTCTTGAACTGTGCAGCCTTTGTAAATCCAGCCTTCTTTAATATTCTTGGGTGCAATTTGACAATACATCTAAAAATATCTGCTCCTCTGGTTGTGTGTACATATCTCTGCCAGCATGTATACTGTTACCTCCTGACTCATTAGCAGCTACCCACCAATCCAGTCCCAATTAAAAGTAAAGTAGAATAAAGTAAAACAAGCTTTATGTCCACACCTAAACAGATCAACAAGGGAAGTATTTTATACCCAGTTGCAGTCAGTATAAAACTCCCTTTGATTTCAGAAAGATTTCAATTTTGATCCATGATTTTAACTTGGATGAAAATAAGAAATCAGAGCATCATATGACCACACTTGCTGGGGTCACGCTGTATTTGTAAGCCCCAGCCAGCCCACTGCATTCTTTAAATCTCAAGCCCACTTTAGCAGCAACTGACTGCCAAGATGGCTCTGCCAAGCTGATTCTGTCAAGGAAATAATTTCAAGGATAATTAACTTACCCTAAAAGGTGAAGTAACCATGTACAGCTACCATAATTATCCGAGTCTTCGATTACAGCCAGATAACTTTAATGTTCTGAACAAAAACCTTCCCTGATGTTGCTTCTTGCTGTAGGGATAAGGAAGCTAGACTGACTCTCTGCTTCCTTCTTTCTTAAATCTTGGGACAGCATTAGTTGGAGCCACTGGACTACTGAATAGCTAAGAAGAGAATAGAGACTTCTAGAGTGCCTGGATATCAAAAAGGGGCAGGAAATTCACATCCCCACATGTCCTATAAAGGCCTGCAACATTACAGGTGCTGAGAATACCACAGGCACAGAAACCTGAGAGGAGGGAGAAAACCATCTGTGAGACTGGAGAAGGTGTCCTGTATGTGAGGCACATGATCAAAATAAGCTTTTCCCAAATTAATATTTATTTTAAAATGGTGAATTAATCCACTGCTTCTTAGGGAAGCAGGACAACTATATAAAGAGAGCTAGATTGCCAAGCTGGGTGAACCTTGAAATCTTGGCTGTGTGTCAAACCTTAAAAGGAATGAACTGCCATGACCCTGAGCTATATTACCACTTCCGAAATTGACTTTATGGATGTGTATCCAGTCCAGCCTTGCAAGTTTCATGAAGCCATAAGCACATTTGATATATGATGGAAAATGCCTTAAATGCAAATTAAGGTGTCACCCAGCCGCTGAAGACATAACTCCTGTAATATGGTGGGGTTGGAACCACTACACAAGTGGCAGCCACCTACAGTGCAGGTCTGCTCAGGGGTGCTGCACTGCAGCTGTGCTGGGCTGCCAGCAAGGAGTTCAATGGGATTTAGCTGGACTGCTGTCACAGCCTTGGTGGGGCTTGTGTGGTAGCACTTGGAGACATGATATTCCCTGCAGTGACACATTTCTTTGTGCAGAAATTATGCCAGCTGGCACACAGAGTACAGGGAAAGGATGCAAGGTGCCTTGCTGTAGCTTCATCCCATTTTTGAGTGAGGGAGGTGCATCAGGATGTTTTGTCCATCCTTTCAGAAAATCCCTCTATTCCTTCTTGTTCCTGCAAAATGACATGTGGTGTAAATGCGTCCCCAAAGGGAATAAGGACACCTCTGAGGTCTGCAGTCAGTAACCTGTGCTTTCCCATGGCTCCAGGAGATCCAGCTGCAGTCTGGGCCCACAGCCAGTGCAGAGTTCCTGGGTGGACTGGCCATCGACATCTCCGGAGGGATGGAGTTCAGCCTGTGGTACCGCGAATCCAAAACCAACGTCAAGAACCGGTGAGATACTCCCAGCACATGCTGTAGCTATAGACAGCTCAGGCTTCTGAGCCATGGTAGCACCAATGAGATGAATTCAAGTATAAAAGACCTAGTAGATGAGTTAGAAATAAGCAATTAAATAAATAGAATTAAATAGTTATGTGCACGGGAGAATGTCTGTACCTCTCTTTTCCTTTCCACCTGGATAATACCAGTTTCTACTGGCCTCATGTGAATTTATATACCTTTACATCAAGAACAGTCTCTTTTGAGGGCATGTATGCATTTTATGTATGTATGGTAGGACTGTTTGTAATTCAATTTCCTCTTTTTTAATGTGCTTTGAAACAACTGTAATGCTTAATTTTTTTTTGTAGGGTAGCCATATTTATAGCTGGTAACACCGAGGTGGATTCCTTCTTTGTAAAAACTGGTATGGAAACCACTTTGGAAACAGAAACAGCTTTAGACTTCATCTCCACGGTGCAGTTTTCACAGTACCCATTTTTGGTCTGTATGCAGATGGATAGAGTGGACTCTCCATTCAGGTAAGAACTAAGAACACACACTTTCTGAGGTGTCCTCCAGCCAGCTGCTGGAACTTTTGGTTTTCATAGACATAAAATTAACCACTGATGCCAAATTCCAGCCTAACAGGATCAGGTGCAGTGCAGGCTGTTACACGCACTGACCTCTCTGCTGACCTGTTCCTCTCTGGCCCTTACCCCTGAGATTCAGAAATAATATTTCTGAAGATCACAACTGATCAGCTCTGAATGTGCATTTCAGTCCAATTTTTTAATTTGATTTTGCAAGTGAACTTACTTAAGTGGCAGGACAGTAGTGTCCTCGTGTACAATCAGATCTGATGGTGACCTCAGGCTTTGCCAGCAGTAGTTCTCTGTTATGCTGTTGAGAAAGGAAGTGCAAAGCCTTCATGAGCTGAAGTGGAAAGTTTTCTTTATCATCTGCTATTTACTTGTGTCAACAAAAGTACCTGGTCTGGTACTCCTGCAGCCATTGTGTTCTATCATACTTTATTAAGGCACCAGTTTTCCTGAAAACTGAACAACTGTGCAGTAAGGTTAAAAAGATGCTCTTCGGTAGCCAAAGAATAGTAATTAAATTGGTTTTATTTGATATACTGCTCTCTCCTAATCCCTATTTGCTAAGACCTAAGGAAGATAACATTTGCAGAGCCTGTGCCAGATTTCCATTCAGATTTTTCTCATCCAAAAGATGATTAAAAACCTGAGAGGATTTAAAGACCTTGAGAGTCTCCAGGAAATCCTAAGAAAACAGTGTCTGCTATTCTGCAGCTACTAGCACATCTGCTGACTATGTCTGCTCGCTGTGGAAGGGCCACCTCGCCTGTGTGCGAGGTGTTTGTAACGGGGTGCAAGCTCTGCGTAAACCTGCTGATGGCAGAGCGCGGTGCTGTGTCTTTGCAGGACTCACACGAGCAAGTACGAGAGCCTGCCCTCTGGCAGGCGCTACACTGCCAGCAGCGGGAGGGCAGCCACGCTGGCAGGGAACGAATACCCTCTCCACCAGGAAAACTCCAACATGTGCAAGAAGGTGTTCGGCGCGAAGTCTGACTCCGCTGGCAGCTGGTTTTGAAAGCAGCACCTGGGATCCTGCTTTCCTGAATCCCTCAATGACTTAGGCCTGCACACACTTTACCAACATGGAGCTTGACCTTGCACTGCTGCATTAATGGGAAATTTGCCATTGATTTCAACGGGCCAGGATCAAACTCTCAGTGCGTGCACAGTGTTTACATATTAACCTATATTTAAAACTTTTGTAAAAAAAAACCCTAAGGCAAATAAAGACCAATTTGGTAGCATTCTGTGCACTCCCGTTAGGGTGGTGCCCATTTTTCATTTTTACTTTTTTGTGCCAAAAGCAAAAGTAATCCTTCTTTTTTTTTTTTTTTTTCTTGGGGAATACAGAAGTCTGTGTTTTTGATGTCTGGGAAGAACAATTATGTATAAAGAATGATTATTTATAAATGTATTTTAAAGTATTTCAGTGTTTTAGGCCTATGGCCAATCCCTGTAGAAATATTCAAGTACAATTAACATCCAGATAGGATCATGAATTCCTGCTTACTCAGTATTGCCTGTTTACAAAAAAGCAGATTTTATTTTACATGATTTCAAAGGATTTTGTGAGGTTTTTTTAAGCAGGCAGAACTTGATTATTATTATTTATCTTTTGGAGTTTTTTTTATTAACTCCTGTAGTTAAATACATTTGATTAACAATATGGGGTTATGTTTCCAGAATGAACTTACAGTTGCCTTAATTCTGTTCTCATTGAAATCAATGGTGCAATTTCTGTAGCTACCAGAAGCAGGAGCAGAGTTAAGCCAATACTGGTGGCTCATCAAGGTTGTGTCTTAAAAATGTCTCCCTATGTGTAATCAAGGCAGGTGCATTTCAAAAAATGAGCATGCACTAAGGCAATTCTGAACTATAAAGAAGGAAAAGATTTTGAAAGAAATAGATTTTGGATGCACAGTCTAGCAAAGCCTGTGCAGAGCCAGAATGTTTTCTTCTAGGTAAGTTAGGCTTATATTTCAACACAAAAAATAATAACTACTCAGACAGGCCCTCTTATTAAAATTACTTACACACTTCAAGCAGTGTCTTCATAGGATCAGTGAAAAAAAAAGTTTTGATTATTGCAGATTAAAAAAGAATATACCCCATCCCAGCTCAGCTGATCTCTGATCCATCTGATTTAATTTCTATAGGACAAGGTGGGCAAGTGCTGTTCACAAAAAAAAAAAAAAAAAAAAAAGAAAAAAGAAAGAAGTAAAATAAAAAGCCAAGAATAATTGTTTATTTTTAAAAAACCCAAACACAAAAGCAGGCAGGAAAAACTCATAAATTGCCATGAAAAAAATTTTATTACAAGATTAAGAAAAAAATCCAAACTCTTTTGTGTTGTAAAAAACCAAGAGTGCAGAAATCTGCAAAAATCAAACTGTCAGTGGGATGAAATGGTCTGCTTGTTGTCTTTCCAGAAAATGCCCTAAATAAAACAGGTAAAATACAGTGTAAAGAAAATTGTTTCCAGTCTTATTGTCTGTTACTTTTTGGGTAGGGAAAGCTTCTCACTGGGGAAGGAATGCTGTTTTTTGGGGTCAGAGGAACCATTTTACTCTATATGAAGCAATATATGAAGCAATAACTTAAATGGGCGCTCAGGTCCTGGGCTCCCTCCTAATCAGGAGATTAGATGAGGATGCACCATGGGCTGGAGGTGCCTGCCCAAACCCTCTCCTCAGAGGAGTGGTAAGACCCAGGCACTCCTGGGTCAATACTGCCTTCAGCATCCACTCACAGTCTGCACCCTGTTGTAGACCTCCACTACTGTTTCAGGAACACACTGAAGGCAAGCCTTTGCATTTGTTATTAATACTTGCTCTTTGTGTCACACTAAACAAAAATAAAAGCAGAGCTACCTACTCAGTCACCTAGCAAGAGGCAGTCTCCTCCTGGAGTGACCTGGCACCCTAAAGACAGAAGGTGGACAATTAAATAGCTGCCATCACTCTTTTACTTGGAAAGAGTCAGGATATCTACAGATGACACCTTAGCCCCACTTTGCCAGGCTTGCCTATCAATTTACAACCCAAAATCAGAATAAAAAGTTCTAGATAATGCAATTTATAGCTGTAAGATCTTTGTTTGATAGCAGCAATCCTTACACCTTAACAGCAAGGCTTACCCCCTCTCAGTTGTATCAAATTGAAGAACCAGCCTGTGAAGGGCAATTGTGGACCTCCCACAGCTTTGACACTTAAACAGAGCCCCTGAGACCCACATTGCTCCTTCAGAAGGGACACGTGTCATCCTGGATACCCCCTGGCACGGCAGCAGATGCTTCTGAAGCTATCTGACCCCAACAGCTGGACATAATGGGGATTCCAGGAAAGGTTTAGTCCAGCAGCTGGGTAATGGAGGGCCATGGCTTCCTTACTTGGGCTCCATAGCTACAGAAACAACAAAAGTAACAAACTTCTAAAAATAAGGTGAAATTAATACACTGCTCAAGCCTGCATTTGAAGAGAAAACACATTTAGGGCTACAAACAAAGCAAATGCTCTGTTTATCCAATCAGTGGGGGTTAATCAAGATGTAAAATATGTATTTAATAATGGTATTACACGTACTTTTAAGTAATCAGCAGTGGTAGCAATTAAACAATAATTCATATATGAAGTTTAGAGAAGCAAACAAATGCTTAGTCTTTTCTAGTTGGAAGCCACAGAAGGAACAATGCAATGATAATCCAGCTAAGTCCAAAAAGCAGCCCACTTGCAATGGAGACTTGAAAACTTTCCCCTTCAGGTGTCCAGGAATGCTAATTTTTAAAGAGTGTTTTTCATCTACTCTTAAAAAAATATTCATATATATGGATACTAGTTTGGGTTTGGCAGGCAGATTACATGTTCTCAATAGTAACAAGCCGAGGGGTCAGCAATTCTAATATAGGTGCCTATTTTTGTTTTTTATTTTTTAGATTTTTTTAATGTTATGTTCTATGTTTAGATAACTTGTTTATAACAGCTTCTCGTTTTACTTTGTTCCTACTCCTTTTCACAATAGAGTTGCACTTTTACCATCATTCCCACCAGTGATATTTTAATGACTATGTAGAAACTTACAAGATTTTCTCCAACAATCCTTGCAAATCCAAGACATATTCCAACTTTCAGTTCATTTAAGGTATCGTATGAAATCCTCATACTTTAATTTCAGTGGATTTGTGTGGTGTGAGGTACTTTGTGGCTGGGCAAACATTGGTTGCATTACTGGGCTTCTTAAGGAAAGGTTAAAGTTCATGTTTCTCAGTTTATTTACTTTTAACCTCTCTTTTGTGGATGTTTCAGCTTCAGTTTTCCCTCTATTGTGAGAAACCAGCAGTGCTGTGAAAATCTTGTAACAGCTCCACTGAAATCAGGTCCAGGAACTCTCCTTTAGGAAAAGCAGAGTTCCCAAATTTTCCCGTTCACAACCCCAGGTCCCTTTGCAATTTCAGACTTCTCTGATTTTATCAAAGTGATCCAAGGCCTATCTCTCTGCTCTGCACACTCACTATTATTTTGTGTCTGTTTTGGTCATCCTTTATCTCCTGGTGACCCAACTTGCTTCAGTTTTCCTTTAAGCAAAAGTGGTCTTTTCAACTGCAAAAGTAATACTTTAGTTTTCAAGTCTATTTGGGGATTTTTTTGGTGTTTGACTCATGCTTTTTTAAACACTTGGACTTAACAACAAAAACCTTTTCAATCTTCATGAAGACAGAAGGAACACACTAAAGCAGCAAAAGCTTTTTCCTAGTAATAGTTCAAGCAATAATGCTATCCACTAATAAACTCATCTTATCTTTGCTTGTATTGCAATATTAGGCAATGAAGGTAACATAGAGAATGAGCAGAAAAAAGTTGTTCACCCTACCAATTGCTCTCTCTGAACACATTAAAACAGACAAAGATGCAGTTCTTTGGATACCCAAACCCATTCACCAGTCAAAGTTAGTTCACTGAAGCTGGGGAGTTCTTTCTTAAATTATATTTGGGTAAAAAAACAAAGCAATGCCAACTTCCTTTTGTTGTAAGAGGAAAGAATAAAGAGAGATCAGGTCAGAAAGAGACTTACAATACTGGGATAAACTCAGGGAGACTCTGAGTGCAGCATTTTTGATCTGCTCTCTGGTGTAATTCTTTCTTCTGTTGCTGTTTACAGGTTGAACCAAGTAGTGCCTCTGTTTTCACTTCTTCTGCACAACAGCCAAGGTAACATTGCAAATATACAACCAAGCAGGACTGCAGGCTTATTTGCAGTGTGTCTTTTACTGAAAAATACATTTTATTTATCATAACATTCAAGAGAAAAAACAAAAACAAAACAAACCCCAACATAATACAAATGTCAACTCATTCAGTTACAAACTTTGGTACATGGCAGTTCCAGACACTCTGTTCTCACGTGGCTGTGACGCTCTGAAGTGTTCCCACTGTGCAATTCCCAGAGCGACTCTGTTGTCCTTCAATCCCAGGCCCACAGCACCCTGCAGTGGGATCACTTTTGGTTTCAGCTACACTCTTGCCACACTGTTGTCTCCATTAAGAGCAGCTCAAAGAGTCCATTCCTCTCCAGTTTGACATCTTCTGTTTCTTAATTCTTCCTCCACAGGCAACAATCATCAACACGATGCATTCACGGCATTTTCCCCTTTGCCTTACAGCCCACGCCTCTCTCATCAGACATAGCACCCACATCCTCTTAACAATCATTAGCCTTACTTCACATTTGCACTTTTAAATATCTTTACACCGATAACTAACCCACTCTTTTAAAAATTAGAGGAAAAAGAAAGGGGTGGTGGGGGGGAGGGGGAAGAAGAAATAAAAAAAAAGAAATAGGTGAAAAAAAGCACAAGCATTTTTGAAGTATGTGTTCTCAGGTAGCCACAAGTTAATGGCAATATGTAAGCATAAGGAATGACACTTTGGCCATCAACACTACACTAAAGAATAAACGTAGCATTGAATATAGACAAGGGGGGAAAACACCCCACACAACCCATAAATACATTTCAAATCATTCACCAGTTGATTCACCAAGGGCTAAATTTGATACTGAGTGAAACCAACCCTGTTGCAGAAGACCATAACAACATTCTGGTGCATCACTCTAGTCCCACTCAAACTTTTAATTGGATCCTGACCTAAAATGCATGTACAGTTGGCTGGTGCAGCCCTCAAACCCTGACAGCAGAGCTGGGGGGGAACTTGAGTGGTGCACAGGATTTTGGCCTGCTTTGCACATGGGGTGAATTTCAGCTGTAACATACTATGACTGCACCGTGAAACATATAATACTAGCAGCTTGTGAGCCCTGACATGGAGGGCTTGACTCTAATCCAAGATATGTGGTTACACATCACCCCATCCACTGGAGAAATTCACCACTGGGTATACACAGAGGAGCACCATATTACCAGAGTTTTTTTCTGGTGACTTTTTATGGCATTATCTGCTGGGTCCGGCTTGACTCAAGCCCAGAGATCGGATTCTGTGAAGTGAAGAACCTGGTGCTCAGGTCTGCAAGGCATTCAGCACTCTGGGATGAGTTCAGCAAAGCTTTGCATAGATGGGTGAAGGAAAAAATCCTTCCACTGTAGTCCCCAGGAATCTGCTTAAATATCTGAAGTTGGAGATGCATGTGAAAGCTTTGCTGGGTTAGCAAAGTGAAGCACCTTGCAAAACTGACCTCTTGATGCAAACAAGAAGTCTTTTTAGTAATAGACAAAATCAAGTAAACACTGTTTGACTTCACTGTCTCTGTTTGACTTGAAATCCTGGGCAGTTGTTTTCTGTGCATTTTTTTTTTCCTTTCAAGTACACCGGGTGAAACTGTAAACCTGAGGTTGTGTGTGCAAACCTATATCTTGTAAACTGCAACATGAAACTCCGCTCCGAGCACCGATGTAGGAAAAGGTAGGACAGGAACATTGTGGAACAGGGATGCTAGTATCATACTGAACGTCCTGCACACGTGTATGTCACAGGGAACCTCCTACTCTGGTACCTGCACTGTCCTGCAGTCCCAAGTACTGTTCTGTTTAACACTGATGCTCTAATCACAACACCTACAGACCTATCAGCCATGGGAAAGGTGGAGAAGCATTCATCTCCTTTAAGAGGCAGTCAGCCCAAATCCCAGAGGGAAGTTAAAGCCTGTAATGCAGACTGTACAGTTGAAGAGCACAGGGATTAGTCTTACACAGTCTGTGCTCTAGATGGGCACACCAAGCTCTTTAAAAAGGGTTAGAATATTCACTGGATTTCCACAATGATGAAAATGAGTGAGAAGATACATGAGAAATCATTCGTGATCTGCACACTCGTAGTGCATTTCATCCTGAGGGCAATTACAATTTATGCCTGTAAACAAATAAATTGCATTGAAATACAATCTCACACATATGGTTAAAGACAGTTCTACCTGACTTTTTCTGTACCTTGTGAGTTACTCAGGAAAATGAAAACCCAGGGTTTTTTTAAAAATGGGAAACACTGAAACTTTCCTAGCTGCAGGAACAGGTGGAGAAAAATCCTGCCTGTGGGCAAATGCTTAAATAAAGACTTTTGGGGTTTGCATTTAGACTTTCAAATTCTAATCTGTTACCTCAAGAAAGTTCTATATAGTTTAGGTGTGATCTTACATTTATTTGCTTCCCAAAGTGCTTCACTTAACCAAAATTTTGGGCAGGGAACAAACTAATGAATTTTAATTTTACTGTCATAATAATAACTCTCTTTTGCTGAGACAAACTAGTTGCTGGTAATGAAACAATCAGTTTGAGTAGAGTTGGACATACAAATCACTGCACTGTCAGTAATCTTATTGCATATTTTTTGTTCAAAAGGTAAATATTCTCTTAGTAAATTGTAATTGTAGCCCTCAGATAAAACTGTCAAACAGCTAAAGAAACAACTGCATAGTACTGAGGCTGTAAGATTTAAAAATTAATCTCACAGGACAATGACTAGGATTATGTTTTCAAGAATGTTGCAATTTAAGGAAGAATGGACTGCAGTCTTAAAGGAAAATAAATGTTGTTCTCTCCTTTAGAACCAGGATTTTAAAATATTACATTCAATTTCTGGTTTCCCAGTATTTAAACGCTGTCCTAATTAAGGCAACTTGTGATATTCAACACAGTACAGAGGAGCAAACAAATGAAAGCAATCAAATATGTTTTCTGACATATACACAGTTTGTTTTGAACCATGGCAAAATTTAACACCAAAGACAAATTTAACACTACAGCTCTCTTCATTTGCAATTCCAAGTGAGAAGTAGAGAGTACAAAAACCCATCTGATTGCAAATTGTGACTAAAACCTATATGGAAGAGCCTCATTTACTGCAATAGAAGAGAGCTGAGGGCTTTATTTCATTTCTGAAGAGCTGCAGGGCTGCACTGGATCATCACAACACATTTCAGGGACCTGAATGAAGCTGTGTGGTGATCCACACTGAAACACTGCTGCATTTACACCCTGCATTTTACAGCTACCATTAACTACCAGCACAGAGGCAATGCCTAAAACCTGCAGAGTGGCTTCAGTACAAAAAGAACTTCGCACAAAGTAATGAAGTAATTTAGTGCTGCTCACATAATTAAATGTAGGCATACTCCAAAACAGGGGGGCATTTAGAAGAAAACAAGAAACTTACATGCTTGTTTTGTATGATGAAGCAAAAAAATTGAGAAAACTGTAGAAGCAGTTTTTAGGATTAATGTTGAAGAGTTACCAAGTGTATTTCATATTAAAGAAGCATAATTCTTCTTCTTTATCCCTGTGGAAAAACAAACAAAACCAGAAAAGCATCATTAATACAGATTGTTAGAGAGCTGCCACAGCAATCTGAACAATTTTTTATTCCTCTAGAGAAGTGCATAAATACCTCCTTTGTCATCACACTACTTTTCCTCCTCATCTCCTAAGCTACCACCAACAATCAGCCAAGGGCACCCAGGTTTTCAGACCGAGTCAGTTGTTGGGCAGCCCTGGTGTTTTGAGCAGAACCCATCCTTGCTGCTCAAGGTGTGGAATGTGCTGTGCCTTACAAGCCCATGGCTCCCAGCAGACTGGTCCTGGGGAAGCCAATGGACATTGGTGGAAAGAGGGCAATGTGAGCTCTGTGGGATTTAAGTGATCCATCTGCTCAGTTAAATACCTGGGCACTTTCCTACCAACACAGCATGCAGCATGGAATACACCAGGAAAAGGGAAACAACCCATACCCGTGTGCTCTAAGATTTGTGCAGTTAACACTTAAATACTGGCTCAGGAAATCATCCTGGGCAGGAGGAGTCATTAAGGCCACCATGAACTTCTACTGGTACCAAGGCTCAGCACTATTGAAATGTTTCCTAAGTAGCCACAGTTTTGTACACAAGGTCATGTTTATTTCCATTTGTAGACTGATTTAGTAGATCAAATGTTAGAGCCTGTTTGGTTCTTGGAATATTCCAGTATTTCCCACTAAAACTGGATAAATTCTTTACTAAATTCTCAGCAAAGGCATCAGCATAATTAAGTCCTAGGTACTGCATTTTACACTGTAAGTTGACTTCTTGACTTAGTAATGTGGAACATACATCCTGCTTAACAGGGAACAACTAAAAGTGTAAAAATACCAATTTATGAGGATTTAAAATCATTTTTATATACTATTCACACAAAATTAATTTTTAAAGCAAACCATAGATTATGTGATAGCAGTTAGGAAGAAAACACAACTGATAAGTATATTTGCATATGTATTCCTGTACCTGTAAGATGTCTATGCTCATGGTTTAAACAGAACAATGAAAAATACCCTTCTAATATTGTCAGTACAGTTTCCTACAGTTGCTTTCTACTTTGCTACCTGTTCCTTTCTCATTTATTTACCTAATACGAGGCAGCAACTCCAGAGAGTAAAACATAGGAATAGATACAAAAGTTAAAAACACATTTTCATTCACTCATACTGGGAATGAGCTCCTGTCAGTCAGTTCACTCTCTTACAGGTCAGTTCTGTTTAGGCTTGGATGCAAGTTTATTTGAACTGAAAATCAGCATCAAGGAAGAAGTGCAGCAGGCAAGGATGATGTTGCTAAAGTTTCCCATTTACTGTGAGTGAAGAAGATGAAGGAGAGGAGCAACCTTAAGATATCACTCAGAATTGTGCACATATTTTCCACTATTTTCTGCATATCAAAAACTCAAGAATAGTTCAGAAATGGTAGCTTGGATTTTGTCAGAACACAAATTGATGGGATCAATTTTATCCCAATGATTATGCAGAAAAGAGCATCAGATACAAAGGGAAATGCTGGAAGAGCAGCAGATGTAGAGAGGATATGGTGTCAATCCACCACAGGCATCAGACCATTACCAAAACTTCAGGACACACTGACCTCCCACAGGTGACAGAGACCAAGATGGAGCAGTCCTTGACACAGTGATACAGTTTGTGAACAAAATTGTGAAAGAAATAGAGCAAAGAAAGGAAGAAGAGAACACGTGCAGTGCAGAAAGGAACTGAGGAGTGGAGAAAAAGAGCATTCATCCAACTCATTTTGCCTAGTTAAAAAAAAAGGGACCTGATAGGACAGTACTTTATTCAACTCTTGCACTCAAAGGATGAAATCTGGCTGGTTTTAAATCCATTTTAGGATCTGCACAGCACTGCTGCAAACTAAACACCCTGGTCTGGTGTGAAAGCAACTAACTGGAATTAAAAAGTTAACAACAGTTCACCCTTAGATTCACATGAAATTATACTGCTGCTCTTGGGGAAAAACACCATGCTGTTAGGGGGAAAACAGCACAATGAGCAAAGAAAGGCTTTTGATTAGGAGTGGAATGACAAAAGATAGAGAAAAATAATGGAAAACAAAAGTAGACATCAAAGGAGAGAAGAAGAGGAAAAAATTATCCACAGGAACATGGAAGTTATGTAGGTGAATGAAAATAACAGGAAGAAAAATGCTACAGATGTGATTCTCCTGTGGCATATATGTAATTTTCCACTGAGAGACAAGATACAGGAATAACCAAAGTCTAATGACAAGTTAAACACAACCTGCAGCATGCAGTTAAAATTATTTCTTTTAAGACTGTCAGAACAGGTCAAGGGAAAAAAGTGCATCCATTGTCCAACAGCAGGACACGTCCCTCAGCAGGTCTGAAGCAGCCCAGAGGGGGCACCCCTGTCTGTATGAGACAACAAACGCCTTGGCATGATCAAAGATTGAAAGGATGGTAAAATGAAACTCAAGTCTGCACACTGCTGAATTACCTTCTGTACTGAGTATGCACCACAAGTCTTCTGAGGCAGCTTTCACACAGTTCTGCAGTGGTAGAGCCCTGACACAGCACAACAAAGCAGGGCTGCTTTAACTTCCCAGTGAGAAAGGGCAATTTGGTGACAGCATCACCTGCCTCACCAGGCACTGAAGACAAGCTAAATACAAGATAACAGGATAACCCTTTGGGAACTGAGGGGCAGGGCACACCAGGAAATACGATGTTTTTCACTTTCAAAGAGTGAAAAAGACACAAGAAAAGCTGCACATTTTTGTTTAAATAGCTACTGTTACAAGTGCATCTACTATTTACCCCACCTTTTCAAAAATGTTGTCTAATCTGAAATCTAACAAATTCCTTCTGCTAGCTATCTCAGCTCAGCCTCCAGCCAAATGGAAAATAATGAACTACTTTTTGCCATTTCATCTAGGTTCTCTGACTTTACTGGCAAGATGAACTCAAGTAGCTCAGCAGAGCTCAAGTTAAACTGGCATGTTGCCTGTCCTGAGTGACCCATAAAGGCCAATGAAAACAACTTCATCCACAGCCAGGAGAAAATAATGGAACTTTCAAGATAAAATAATTACAAGCAGAGAAGTAAGTGTATAAATCTCATCAATAAGGTTTCATTCAACAAATAATCTACTATGTAGTAGATGCTGCAAACTAAAAAAAAAAAAAAAAAAAAAAAAAAAAGAAAAATAAATAACCCAAGTACTGGAAGACAAAATTTATCCTCAAGCATGCAACTGGACAAAGCACAGCACAAACTGGTGACAAGCCCAAGCTTCTGTCTGTTGCCACTCTTCCACTCTTTCTATTTGCCTTTTCATATGCACCAAAAATACCCAGCTCTGTGAATCCTTGGTAAGCCATGGAAGATGGCAGTTCTGCCTAATACTGCACGTGATAAAGATGAGCCACGCATTCTAATGCAAGAGACAGAAGGAGCAGGGACGCCAGTCCTGAAGGCACTTCTGTAACATTTCAGGTGTTTTAAAATAATGAAATGTCATCATCCCTTGGTTATTTTGCGCAGGACACACTACACCACACTGGTTTCAGTGCATGTTGTATGCCCAGTCCTGCGCCCTCCTCCTCGCTCCAGGACAGGTACTCAGTGTCCCTGCATGCACATCCCTTACTTTGGAGGCTGGCCCTGGGTGACAGCCCCAGGTATCTGGACACTGTCAGGACTCTGGCAATACAAGCTCAGAGTTGCTGTGTAAAACTGCCTTGCAGCAGTGCCCTGGGGAGCCCTCCTGCAGCACAGGCAGCTGTGGGCACCTCTGCCCTGCCAGTACCCCCACGGCTCCAGGAGAGCACACCTGGGACTGCTGCATGTATCCTGCTCCCTCACCCCACTAACAACAAGGACCCAAAATAAGGGTTTGCTTCCATTAACTCCTCTCCCACTCTTCTTTGAGGCTGGGGAGAAACAGATACAGGGGAAAGAGAGAGGTGATCACCTCCCCTTGGGAGGAAGAGGTGAGATGTGAGACAAGAGGAGGATGTGATGCCAAGGCGAAGGTGCTCTTTCATGGCTTGCAAGATGGGTCCAGATGATGGGTCCAGAGATGCCCAACCACACTGATATCCCCAGGAGCAATGGGAGGTGCCCCAGCCATGGGGCTGCACAAATACATGTTGTGTGATGAGTGGCTAAGGCGTGCTTCTAAAAAACTGCCAAAAAAAAAAAAAAAAAAAAAAAAAAAAAAAAAACCAAAAAAAAAAAAAAAAAAAAAAAAAAGAAAAGAAGCTCCAAAGACTACTGAACTGCACCGAGGGGTATGCCTAACCTTTCTATATTTTACACGCTGGTGAGGGCCCCTCCGTGGACCCTCTCTCCTCTGAGGAGAAGCTGTGGCACTGCTGTCATTTGGCAATTAACCCGCTCTGCCCTGACCCATCAGCGGTGACTGCCGGGCCCGACAGGCAGCACCCACTCACCCGCGCTCTTCACCGGTGCTCCACCACAAAGCGCATGGTGGTGCCGTCGAAGGAGGGCGGCGCGACGATGCGAGGGCCGGTGGCCGGCGCTGTGATGCTGATGACCGGCTTCGCCTCGGCCGCCCCGTGCCGCGGCGGCGGCGGGCCCTTGCTCGTAGCCACGTAGTAGGGGCTCTCGGCAAAAGCTGCCTCCGGCGCGGCGGGGCTGCCGGGCTCTGCCGGGGCGCTGCCGTCGCTGCCCGAGTGGGACAGCGGGCGCTGCAGGGCGCCGGCGGGCAGCACGGTGGCGGCGGGCAGGAGCCCGGGGTAGAGCATGTACGTGGCGCCATAGGCACCGGCATTGAGGGCGAGGGGCGAGAGGGGCAGCGGGACGGGAGCCACGGCCGGCTGCTGGGGCACCGGCACCTCCACGTACTGCCCGGTCTCGGGGTCGAAGAGGCGCCGCTTGAGGGGCTGCTGCACGGGCGTGTCCACCAGGTAGTACTGCCCGGTGCTCACGTCCAGCAGCACCTTGCGCTGCGTCTGCGGGAAGGGCTCGGTCGCTGTGGCCGCGGCGGGCACGGAGGGCGAGAAGCAGAGCAGCGGCGGCGGCGCGGCGCCGGGCAGGGCGGCGAAGGGCAGCGGCGGGCGGTACAGGGCGGCGGGCGGACCCTCGGCGGGCGGCGGGGCGGCGGCGGGGGGCTCCTCGGCGGGCGGGGGTCCGGGGGGCGGTCTGGGGCTGCCGGAGGGCTTGGACGTGCCGAAGGGCTGCAGGCTGCACAGCGCTGCCGCGGCCGCCGCGGCCGACACCGGGCTGGGGCGGACGCCGCCGCCCTCCGTCGCCCCCGCGGACGGGGGGGAGCCGGGCTCGGCGGCCGCCTTCAGCGGCAGGGACAGATAGTTCCCGCAGTCGGCGCCGCGCTCAGCATCGCCGCCGCCGCCGCCCGCGGGCAGCCGAGGGGAGCGCGGCGGTGCCGGACCCCGCAGGCCGCCCTCGGAGTGGAGCTTGGCCGGCGCGGGGGCTGCGGCTCCGCCCGCCCCGCGGAGCGTGAGGAGGGCGCGGGGGGCGGCGGAGGGCTCGGCGCGGGGCGCCGGCGGGCCGCGCTGCCGCTGCCGGGCCAGGCTCTCGAAGGCGGCCGCCTTGGCCGAGACCTTGTCGGCGGTGCTGTTGGAGAGGCGGCGGGGCAGCCGCTCGCTGCTCGGCCCCTTGCCCGACGGCTCCTCCGCCTTGTCCGCCGGCGGCGGCGGGGGCGGAGCGGCAGCGGCGGCGGGTCGGGACCCGACACCCCGCTCCTGGCTGGCGATAAGGGAGAGAACGTGGCTGTCGGTGATGGGCAGAGGGTCGCTCTTGCGCTTCCACTCGCGCTTGTTGAAGCTGTAGAGCTCCTCCATGCTCCTCACCGCCGCCGTCAGCTTCTCCAGCGCGTTCTGCACCGGCGCTGCCTTGCTTTCCTCCCGCGGGTCCTCCTCCGGTGCCCGGCTCCTCTCGGGGGGCGGCGGCGGCGGCTGGTGCCGCCAGGGCGCGGCGGATTTGGAAACGATCTTGAGCACAGCCGGCTGGCGAGCATCGCTCTTGTTGGGGGCGATGGTGGCCACTGGCAGCCTGCCCGAGGTGCGGTGCACCAGCACGGTGCCCTCCGGAGGGCAGGCGGGCGCCTTGCCCGTCGCCTTGGCCCCCGCCTCGGTGGGCTTGTTGCCGGTGTGGCCGACCGCCTGGCAGGTGATGACCACGGGGGAGAGCGACCGGGGGACACCGGCGATGACCAGCTGCTGCTGCTGCTGCTGGGGCTTCTGCTCCGGGCCGCCTTGCTCGGAGGCGCCGCTGCCCTTGTCGCTGCTGTTATCTCCCGAATCAGCGCTGTAGGAGCTTTTGATGAGCTTCCGCACGTCCCGTACCTGGTGGAGGATCCCCTGGGCTCTGTACTTGCTGTCCCTCACGTCGCGCACCAGGAACTGTGGCACTTTGTCGGGGCCGTCGCCGGCCTTGAGAGGCTTGAGCGGCAGTCCCCTGCCCTCCTCCGGCGGCCGGCCTGCGATCTGCGGCGTCAGCAGCTGGGCGATGCTGAAAGCGGCGTCCCGGGGCTGCTGCAGGCTGCCCAAGCTGATCTTGATCTCGGGGGCTTTGGGCTTGGCGGCGGGGGGCGAGGTGGCGGCGACGCCGCCGGCGGCCGAGGACACGGCGGCGGCACCGCCGGCGGCCGAGGACACGGCGGCGGCCGCGGCGGAACACTTGGTCGCCCTCTTGCCGGGTTCCTTCTCCCGAGGGGTGTGCTGAATGGCGGGGACGAACAGGCGGGACATCTTGGTGGACTTGCCGGCAGAGATCTCGCCCAGGTCGGCTCGCCAGTCGTGCTTGGGAGAGAGTTTCAGCTTACCGACGGGCGCCCTCTCCTCCTTCCTTTCCGCCTCCCGCTCCTTCCAGGACCTGAAGGCGCTGTTCTGGCTGCGGAGGAAGGTGGCCTTGATGGCCTCCGAGGCGCTGCGCTTCACCTCGCACAGCTCCTCCGACAGCGCCCGGTCCAGGCTGCGGTTCCCCTCGCGGGGCGTCGACGCCTTGGAGGCCGGAGAGGGGCCCCCGCCGCCCTCGGCCGCATCCTCCGCCGGCGCCGCGGTGCAGTCCGAGCCGCCCTCCGAGTGCCGGGAGTTCTGTCGCTGCACGCCACCCTCCCGATGCCGCTCCCGGCCGGCGCTGCCGCCGGTGGGTTCAGGCTCCCGGCCCGCGCCCGGCCCGGTGTAGGAGGTGTCGGTGATCTCGCCCCGCTCCATCTTGAATTCGTGCTCCAGCTGCATCTTCTTGGAGATGACGTTTTTGAGGAGGCTGGAGGCGAACCTGGACTTCTTGCTGGACCCCTTCCCGCCGCCCTCCACCGCCGGCGGCTCCCCGGCCTCGGCGGCATCGCCGAGGTCCAGCAGGGTCACCACCCGGGAGCCCGCCCGCAGCCGCCGCGGCGTTTCGACATGGGCGATCTCCCCGTCGAGCTTGCTGACCACGAACTCGAGGGCTTTGGTCTGCGAGCGGCCGGAGCGCAGCAGGCTGGGCTCGGCTCTCGGCCCCAGACTGCCGCACTTGAGGTCCAGGTAGGTGGACCAGCGGTTGATGCCCAGGGCATTGTCGGATAGGGAGGCGGAGGAGGCGCGGGAGCCGGGGCGCAGGGTGTCGAAATAGGGGTACGCCAGGCTGCGGAAAGCCCTGGCCGTAAGATTTCGCACCTCTTTGTCGGCATCGTCCAGCTCGCTGACGGCGCTGGAGGCGCCGCTCGAGTGCTCCCCTGCCCTGGCGGCCCCGCACCGCGTCTGCAGCCGCGCGGGCACCGCGATGAACTTTTTCGCGTGGTCGCGGACCGCATCCTGTTTTAAACTCGCGCTGCGGTCGGGAGCCGCGGCGACACGGAGACTCATGTCGCCTTCATGCTTGGCAGCGTAAACAGTGTTTTGCTTTCCGTGCACGTTGCTAGACTCATTTATAGCCCGGGAAGCGGCTTTGATTGATAGGAGAAGCTGGGCGCCCGGGCTCCCGCCGGGGCGGCCGGGCTGCTTGGACCGGCTTTCCCCGGAGCTGGCGCGCTTGTCCCCGCCGGGGGTGTCGTGCTCGGAGGTAAGGCTGACGATCTCGGTGCTGCTGGTGTTGTCGATGCTGTCCGTCTGGTTGTTGGGGTCGCTGGTGGTCGTGCTAAGGTAGCAGCTATTCTCCTCCTCCTCCGTCAGGGTGTCCCCCGGGGTCTCGTCGCTCCCGAAGGAGGCGTAGTCAACGAAGGAGTAGATCACGTTGTTATCCTCGAAGTCCCAGCGGGCGGCCAGCCCCGCGTCGAAGTCCATGTCGTGGTCCACCTCGCTGAGCTGGATCTCCTGCGTGCTGATATAGTGCGCCTCATCGCGGCCGCCGCCGGGAGGGGTGCCCGGGGGGGCGCCGGGGGGAGTCGCCTTGCGCCCCGCGACCTCATCCTCCACTTCGCTTTCGTAGCCGAAGGACGACGAGGAGGTTTTGCCCTCCGTCGACATAGGGTCGCCCATTGCGGGAAAGTCGTCCGCTTTGGTCACGGGCGAAGGGCAGGAGGAAGAGGAGGACTCCGGGCAGCCCCCCGCCTCCAGCGTCCCGCCGCTCCCCGCCGCCTCCACGAAGCCGGGGCCGGTGTCAGCGCCGCATTCCGCCGCCGCCGGGGAAGGAGGGCGATCCCGCCCGTGGTCCAAGGATGCTGGCCCCGCTTTCTCTCCCGGGGGTCCGCCGCTCGCCGAGTCGCCATCCCCGATGCCCCCCGCTCCGCTGTCCGGTGCGGGACCGGACGCTCCCTCCGCGCCGCCGGCCGGGGCCAGTTCGGGCTTCTGGCAGCTCTCCTCCGGCTCCTGCGGCGAGCCGCGGATCTCCACGTACGCCGCCTCCTCCTCCTCCTGGATGGTCGCCTCCGGGCCAGGGTTGGAGCTCGGGCTTGTGCTCGGGTCCCGCTCGGCCGGCGCGCCCTCCGGGCCGGCTAGGGGGCCGGCGGGCCGCTGGCCGGGCGCGTCCATGCCGGGGCCGTCGGGGCGCGGCAGTGGCCCGCGGGGGCGGGCCGGCACGTGCCGCCGGGACGGGGGGGCAGCGGCCGCCCACGCCCTCCCCCCCTCCTCGCCCTCCCCTCCCCTCCTCTCTCGTCCCCTCCTCCGCCCGGCGCGCCGGCTCCCGGCCCGGGCGAGCATCGCCGCCGGGGGGCGGAGGGGTCGGGTCGGGCTCAGCTCCCCCCGCAGCCCGCCGGCACAGGGCGGCCGGTCTGGCCACCGCGAGGGAGCTGGCCCTGCACATCCCGGGACGGGCCCGGGTCCTGCGGGTTTTCCGAGATGGTCTTCACTCGGACGGCCCCAGGCGCGGACTATACATAGAGCCGGCGTCACTTTGGCCGGCTGAAATCCTATTTTAAACGTGCGTGTTTGCCGGAATAAAGGCGTCCGGACACCCCTTGGAAGAGGAGAGCTGTCCATGCCTACAGAGATGCTGCCACTGCCCAGCCCCCCGGGGAGCCGGCGGCGCAGGCTGCTGGAGACAACTCCCAGGGCACCGGCTGAGCACGCAGCGTGTCAACAGCAAGTGCACCCTCGTTCTACACGCAGCAGTGGCTAAACAGCTATTTTCTTCTCTAAATTATTCCTCTGCACCCTGTGTCCCCATGCAGGATGTGTGGTTGCATAGGGACACCCTATGGATGGCAGCCTGGCCCTGCACCTTTACAGTAATCCAGAGAGCCACTGGTCTCCAAGAAACCTTTTTCCAAGAAATGCCGGTTTAGACACAACCAGCACTTAAGACCTATTAATAGGCATTTCTGTGGCATGCCTGACCTTTGGCAGCTGAGAGCTTTACTGAGCAGTCCCCAAGATGACAAACCAAAAATCAGTCCAGCGCCATGGAAGTTTTGAAAAGGCAAGCTGTTAAACACTGAGGAGGAGAAACAAAGGAAAGCGAGCAATGTTGAGAAGCAGCCCACAGGCATACAATGCAGATAACATCCTAAAGTCACAGCTTAAAAAACAACATCCCAAATTTAGAGTGCTTGAACACTAAGGTGAGAAAGTTGGCATTGAGCTGGTAACACTGAACTGAGGTGCAGGAGAGTTGTGGAAATCCCTAAAGTGATTACCAGGATCCAGGATCTTACAGCTGCATGCACTGGCAAGGTGTGCAGCTCTGCCAGGGATGCCAGAGGAACAGAGGAGCCAAGATGCAAAGCTGACACCATCCCAGAAGTCTTCCCAGCACTGTCCATGTCAAAACAAGTGTTTCCCAGTGCTCCCAGCTCCTCATCCCACCCTGTAGACAGGCAGGTCTGCTGCCATCCACCCACTCTTCCTGCTGCCTCCAGGAAAAATGACCTGCCTTCTTTACTGAACCCAAATGGAGCCTTGTGAGGCTCTCTGCAGCAAGGGCAGGTTCATAGCCTGCTTCAGATAAGGGTTCTCTGCTGCCTGGAGGAAAACAAGTGAGGTGGCTCCAGTTTTTAGTACTCTATAGGCCATGGTCATTTCTTAGGCTGTAGATTGACGGGATAGAAAATATTACTGAAGCACCATGTGATATTTTAACAGAAAGACACATCCTCCAAACCTGGAGGGTTTGTACCAAGTCAGGTCACATGCAGTGAGGCTCTCCCCAGGCAGCAGGGATAACTGATTTCCATCATTACTGAATCTGTCCTGCCTCCAGTGTGCTGTTAATGAGAAGCTGGGCACCAGGTTTTATGGGTACTGGGCTTCCTCAGCCTCAGTCTTAGCCCAGGTTTATGTAGCTTCAACTCCCCTGGTACATACAGCGACTGCAGTTCTCCACAGAGCTGTGGAAAGTGGCATCCTCATCCCCAAACAAAGTCACTGGCTTTTGTGTCCCATCCACACGTATTACAGGCTTGCCCCTCTGTCTCAAGCAGATGCAATAAAATTGTGACATAACTAGAGAAAGACAATATTTTAGCACATTATTAAGAGACATCTTAGTTTCAATTGGTGAGGGGCTAAGACTAGATCCTCAAAAGCAGTCCTTTCCAAATGCCTGGGATGCCAAGGAATGCATTTTAAACCCTGATCATTCATTGTGCTTGGGTGACTGCTGGCAGCTGTAGCAGCCTGGCCTTCTGCACTGCCTCCTACCAGATGCCTCCTCTCAAGCAAGGTCTCCACCCCAAGTTCTCAGTGACCCCACACTCTGATCTCCCTAATCAGGGTCTCAGGTGTCAGTCTCTCACGCTTCACTCTCCTCTCTCCTGTTTGGTTTTCCTGCATTAAAAGTACACAATGAATCAGATCTTTGCTCCCCAAACCTGCACAATTAATAGTGGTGCTGTTTTTTTGAGTAACAGTTGTTTGTATATTCCTTCCAAGATCCCCAGACAAGATCCCCACCAAAATGAGCATTGAAACTTGACTCTTTATTTATCTATTTTCACAGTCTAGTTTCTAGCTGTGGTCCTGAGATGGTTTTTTCTGCCCTTTTCCTTTGGTGGTATCTGGAACTTAACCTATTCGATCTTATAGACCCAGGCAATGACTCTCCCAGCTGAGGCAGAAACCACAATGGAGCACTCATACATGTATGTTTATAACATACTTATGTCTCCAGCACAGGGAATTTATGTCCCTGGTGACAAAAATACATACATAAATCCACACCTGTTCCTCTCCACTTTCAGTCAGGGCTAGTCCTGGAAGCCTGCATGCCTTAGGCTGTCAGGTCAGGGTATTTCCCATGGCACTAGGACACTGCTACAGGGTACAGAGCCATACAAATCCTAATGTCATTTGTAAAAAGCCAATCTCTGACGCCCAGCTTAAATGCTCTAATCACTGTATGGTGTTAGAAGAGTGGGGGAAAATGAGAAGGATTTCCTCATCTCTTTTTTGTGTCACAGATTTTTGCTCTGATGAGGCGCCAGCTCCTCAGAGATGCTTTGCTGCGAGCCTGGCCTCAAGCAAAGCGTAAAATTCCATGGGGTTTAGGCTTAATGCCTTCGCCCCAGCCTTTCCTCTTAGCTACCATAGCGTCAGCTTTAGTAAAGCCAGTTTTGGAGGTGTCTAATGTGTCTAATAGCCTCCATGTGAATCCAAAGCTTGTGTGCACAGCGTGAGCCTGGAGCTGACTCCCCAGGACTGCTCCCCTGTGGCACTGCCTCACAAAGGATCAGAGTGCTTCGACAGCTTTGCAAAGGTGTAGATGATTTTGGGTTTCGGGGGTTTTTTCTGTATATATTACAGTTGCCAGAAAAATTCTACAGCAACAAATGTGTTAGACCTGTTTGGTCACAGTTAAAAGTGCACTGCAGGAAAACTGCAGCTCCATCACATTGTCTTGCAAATAACAATTTCTTGCTCTGTGCTGGCATGACATCTCCACTGATTAATATACAGATCAATATGATTTGGTTAATAATGTGGGATATAAGTAACTAACATGTCACCCTTATGATTCGAGCAATACTCAGCTGAGGCATTCATTAGCATCAGTTACTCTCTCATGGTTTCCACCTTTAAATCTCTCTTGCTCACCAAAAGTACCAAAGTCTAAGATTTCAGCATCCAAATCTGTCATGAAGTGTTACTGGACCTCTCCTCACAATCACAGAAAACCTGTATGTTTAATGCCTTTTGTAACACAGTAGGTACTCTACTTTTAAACTCTTTCTGGTAAAAATAACAACATACACTCTTTAACCACATTCTGTCCTTTGCTCACAGAGGTAGGTCAGACAGGTAAAGGTGATGGGGAAAATGTAGATAGGCTGAATTAGCTCTGCACCTTAAAGTACATTACTCATGGAAGTAGCACAGAAGTGGGATTTAAAAGGGCTTTGAGAAGAGGCACTTAAAAATGTAATCAAGAGATGAAGAATGAGTTTAGCTATACAGTTACATAGGAAACTATACAGAAGAAGGCATAGGGTTTTTTCCCTTTAACTGAGACAGAGGGAAGTGAGCAACTGGTGGGGGGTATTTAGTTGAGCTTTCTCTGACTAGGGAAAGGTAAAACATGAATCTGTTAATTTAACCTTAGGAAATGTTAATACCTTTAAATATTTTAGTTATTACAGTATTAAGTCATCACAAAGGAGTTATAAAAATCAGACTCCTACAGAAGAAAAATCAAAATATTATTTTCATGGAGAAGACAAGCACTGTTCCAGTAACTAAGATGGTTTGCAGGACGCTTTTTTGCATGGAAAGCAATGTCTTCCACAAAAAAAAAATAAGGAAACAGTATAAGGATTCTGTTGAATTCTGTGCACACAGCAAAAGATGCTCACTATAGGTTCAGAGAAAGATGAAGAATGATAGAGTCATAGGGAGAAGCTTTAAATTTTGGCTGATTATTCTCTTGAGTAGTATTTGAATATGGCTGGATTCAATTTTTCTCTTGGTAGCTTTCTGATAACATTGCACATTGATAAAGTGAGCTCTGTGGTAATCTTTTAAATCAAAGAAAAAAAAACATTACTGGAATTTAGATGTATTTCTGTGTGTCTGTGTGTGTGTTAAGGAGAAGGGAAAACTGAAAACAGCACCCTGATTTTCTCTCAGGACTAGAACCCAAGAAGGAGGGAGAAAACTTTGGAATAAAAGAATTGGATTTTTGGCTTAGCAATAAACAGTGAAGCCCAACACACATTATACCTATATACCATTGTAGCACGCATTATACATATATACCATTATATCTCCAAATGCTACCAGATATACTGAAAAGAAATGCAATACCCACGCACGTGTGTTGGTATGGAAGTTTTCTAGCAAAATCAAGTGGAAATAAAATGAGATTTTTGTAGCTTGCACTAAAATGGTGTTTCTTATGGCATTTAGCGAGGGTCTGACTGAAAAAGTACTAAGCAAAAATGAAGTGAAAACCAACACCTGGCTGGCTCAATCCTTTCTGTCACAGAGACTATGCTAGTCAAGGGGATCTTTCTTTCTGCTTCCATCTGAGCCTGTTGAAGAGATTGAGGGGCTCTTCTTAACACTCAACCTGCAAATGGAAACCAAATGTGCTCTCCTTCCTGGCAGACCTCTCCCTCTCAGCAAGTGTCAGACCTTTCTAAAGAAACTCCAGAGCTGGGTGGGTTCAAGACCCTACCCTGAGTGCTTGAGCTTGCATGATTCAAAGACCTTGGTGTGGCTCTCCGAATGGGAGGCCACTTTTCCTCCTAGGATGAGATAGGATCGAGTTCTGGCCACTGCCTTGCGCTCTGCAGCGCATTCCGTGTAACTGAGCCCCTGTGAGCAGCAGTGGCTGAAGCGCCGGTGGAACAGCAACCCCTGCCCTCCCCGCAGCTCCCTCTGGCCCTTGCTATTAGCAGCTCCTGCTGGGTGCCTTACAAGGGCTGCAGAAGATATATATGTTTTTAAACCAGATCCTCCCCCTTGCTATGCATCCCTCTCTTCCTGACCTGAAAATCTCGTGCCAAAACAAACAGGCAGGAACATAATCCCAGAACAAGTTTAGA